AACGTTTTTGAGGCAAAGTAACGTGTTTTGAAAAGACTACACAAAAATTCATCCATTCTTCGTGGAGAAAAGTTAAAGTCTAATAAAGTAACGTTTTTAAGGCAAAGTACTGTGTTTTGAAAATGCCTAATATAAAATCATCCATTCTTCGTGGAGATCAGTTAAAGTCCAATAAAGTAACGTTTTTAAGGCAAAGTAACGTGTTTTGAAAAGACTACACAAAAATTCATCCATTCTTCGTGGAGAAAAGTTAAAGTCTAATAAAGTAACATTTTTAAGGCAAAGTACTGTGTTTTGAAAATGCCTGCATAAAAAGCCATCCATTCTTCGTGGAGTATGGTTTAAGTTGAATAAAGTAACGTTTTACTGACAAAGTACTGTGTTTTGAAAAGACTACACAAAAATTCATCCATTCTTCGTGGAGAAAAGTTTAAGTCCAATAAAGTAACGTTTTTAAGGCAAAGTACTGTGTTTTGAAAATGCCTGCATAAAAAGCCATCAGTTCTTCGTGGAGTATGGTTAAAGTTGAATAAAGTAACGTTTTACTGACAAAGTACTGTGTTTTGAAAATACCTAATATAAAATCATCCATTCTTCTTGGAGATCAGTTAAAGTCCAATAAAGTAACGTTTTTAAGGCAAAGTAACGTGTTTGAAAATGCTTACATAAAATTCATCCATTCTTCGTGGAGTATGGTTAAAATTGAATAAAGTAACGTTTTACTGTCAAAATACTGTGTTTTGAAATTGCCTACATATAAAAATCATCCATTCTTCGTGGAGATAAGTTAAAGTCCAATAAAGTAACGTTTTTAAGGCAAAGCACCGTGTTTTGAAAATGCTTACATAAAATTCATCCATTCTTCGTGGAGTATTGTTATAGTCGAATAAAGTAACGTTTTACTGACAAAGTACTTTGTTTTGAAAATGGCCTACATAAAAAATCATCCATTCGTAGAGATCAGTTAAAGTCCAATAAAGTAACGTTTTTAAGGCAAAGTAACGTGTTTTAAGAATGCGTACATAAAAAGCATCCACTCTTATTAGAGAAAACTTAAAGTCTATTAAGGTAACATTCTAAAGGCAAAGTAACGTGTTTTAGAAATGGCTACATAAAAAATCATCCATTGACAATGAACGAACGTTTTAAAGGCAAAGTAACGTGTTTTAAAATGCCTGCATAAAACATAATCTATTCTTCGTAAAGATAATGATTATATCACCAGGTTTCAACAGCCAAGGTAGCCAACGTTCCTTAATTACTTTTCATAATAACAAAACGAAAAAAACGGTACTTTTAAAATGTCAATATTTTTTGTCCCTATATCGTGACATATATACTAACGACCCAACAATTCTCAAAATAATTGAAGGTTATGATATCGAATTTGTTGATGTTAACAACATACCATCGTGTACCGATTGTCGTCCAATGGTTTTTTCTGATTCGGAATGCTTGGCTGTAGATCATGAGATCGAGAAATTTTTGAATAAGGGTATTTTGAAACAAGTTGATTGTTCTGAAATAGGATATTTATCGTCCATTTTTCTGACACCCAAGCGTGATGGGTCCAAGCGGACTATTCTGAATTTAAAACCATTAAACGAGCATATTGTGTATCATCATTTCAAGATGGAAACATTTCAAAATGCCACAAATCTTGTCACCAAAAATTGTTATATGGCCACCTGTGATATCAAAGACAGTTACTATAGTATACCCATGTCTGAACATTCTCAGAAATACCTCCAATTTGAATGGAAGGGTAAAATATATCAATACACTTGTCTACCACAAGGCTTATGTTCTGCCCCTCGTATTTTCACAAAAATTTTGAAACCAGTCTATGCAAAATTGCGAAACCAGGGTAGAAAGTCTGTGGCTTACATTGACGATACGTGTCTATTTGCAGATACCTACGAGGAATGTAAATACAATATTGCTGATACTATACACCAACTGCAAACACTTGGTTTCATTCTTCATCCAGAAAAGTGTGACTTGATCCCTTCACAAAAGGTACAGTTTCTTGGGTTTGAAATAAATTCAAATACTATGGAAATAAAACTACCATATGACAAAACAGAAGCCTTGCGTTCATTGTGTATTGATACCATCCGACACAAAGACAACATTACTATACGTCAAGTTGCAAAATTAATTGGGAAAATGGTTGCTTCTTTCCCAGGGGTTAGGTATGGTCAGTTATACTACCGTCACCTTGAAATCCAAAAAAGCAATGCATTAACGCAAAATTTTGGCAATTTTGACGCGAAAATGTATCTTAACCAGGATGCAATCGATGAAATCAATTGGTGGATTAGCAATGTCAGATTGTCTAAAAGCCCTATCTCTGTTACAGATCCTGACTTAACGTTTCGTAGTGACAGCAGTAATGAAGGCTGGGGTGGTTTTGATGTGAAAAACAATGTAAAGACTGGTGGAAGATGGTCTATTGATGAATCCACTAATCACATCAATTACCTTGAGCTGTTAGCAATTTACTTAACGTTGAAAACATTTTGTAGGTCGTATAGGGACATACATATAAGGGTCCAAACAGACAATACGACGGCTATGACGTATGTCAACAACATGGGAGGTACTAAATCTACGAAATGTAACATCTTATCAAAAACCATTTGGAAATGGTGCATATGTAGAAATATTTGGTTATCTTCCTCTCATATACCTGGTATCAGTAACATCGAAGCTGATCACGAATCCAGAACGTTTCACGATGGAACAGAGTGGACGTTGGATAAACATGTCTTTAGCATGATATGTAGAATAGGTGAATTTCCAACGCCAACACTTGATTTATTTGCTTCTAGATTAAATGCTCAACTTGAGAAGTTCGTGTCCTGGAGGCCAGATCCCGACGCACAATTTGTTGATGCATTTTCCATATGTTGGAACAATTATGTAATGTATGCTTTCCCTCCTTTCAGTCTCCTCATGCCTGTTCTTCGGAAAATTCAACAAGACCAAGCAGATGCAATCGTAATTGCACCATTCTGGCCGACCCAACCCTGGTGGCCTCAACTACTAAGCCTTCTGGTATCGAACCCAGTAGTATTACCACGTCAGAAGACATTGCTGGGACTTCCTCACAAACCCGGTGTTCACCACCCTTTGATTGGGAAAATGACCATCGTAGCATGTTCATTGTCCGGGAAATCATACAAAACCAGGGAGTTTCTAAGGAAGCAACAGATGTTATCGTACAATCATGGAGACCACAGTCCCAAAAACAATACAATGTCTACATCAAAAGATGGGTTCAGTTCTGTTCTAAACGGCATATTGATCCCCTTCAGCCATCTATACAAATAGGGTTGGACTTCCTAGTTAGTTTACACCAAGAAACTCTAAGTTATAGCTCGATAAATACAGCACGCAGTGCCTTATCATCATTTATCTATGACGGAAATATTTCATTTGGACAGCACCCACTTGTGATTCGTTTTATGAAAGGTGTTTATAATTCGAATCCACCTAAACCTAGATATCAATCAATATGGGACGTTTCAATTGTTTTAAGACACCTTCAACTTTTGTTTCCGCTGGAAAAATTGACATTACGTGATTTATTTCTGAAACTTGTAACGTTGATAGCACTTACTACAGCACAACGAATGCAAACATTGGCCTTGTTAGACATTGAAAACCTCATTACTGAGGAGAACTGTTTTGTTTTTTACTATAAATCAGAACATTAAACAGTCTAAGGCGGGAGTTAAAAACCCAGTTGTACGACTAGAAAAATATGTAGATCCAAGTATTTGTGTATATAGAACATTGAAAACATATTGTGAACGAACTGAGCCTTTAAGAGGGAAATGTACAAGTCTGTTCATAAGCTTTATAAAACCCCATCAATCTGTTTCGAAGGATACCTTGAGTAGATGGGTTAAAACAGTTTTAACAGAATCTGGTATTGATACAAAAGTTTTCAAACCCCACAGCACAAGAAGTGCTTCTGTTTCTGCAGCAAGTAGAAGTGGACTTAACATTGAATGCATTTTGAAAACAGCTGGTTGGAGCAACGAGTCGTGTTTCAGAAAATTTTATAATAAGCCAGTGGTGAAACAAAATGATTCATTTTATAATAAGATTCTTAATGTACTGTAACAGTTTGATGTGTTTATCAGGTAAATAACATGATTTAAATAAATGTATTAATACATTAATTATAATATCGTGTTTTTTGAAATGGAAATTTAATTTGTAAAATTCCATTAAATATCTAATATGTCCAGATGGCTTTAAAGTCTCAAATAATCGGCATTGGTTTTAGCAAGGAGGTAGAATTGAAAGTTAAACGATACTTTCAAGGAAAGTTGAAGTTTGACTGGAATTCTACCGACTTGCTAAACACCAATAGATTACATGCCCGCCCTATGAAGCCACACCCTTTGAGAACATGTATAATCATTTATAACTTATTTTACATGTAATCACATAATAAGATATCAAATTTACAATATCATTATTATAGTATTTATTTTCATCTGGACAAATAGATATACTTTAAAGTTCTAACCTACGCATGCGCAGTGAGTCATCTCATGTAATCTATTGGTGTTTAGCAAGTCGGTAGAATTCCAGTCAAACTTCAACTTTCCTTGAAAGTATCGTTTAACTTTCAAATATCTCGTCTGACGTCATAATCATATCTGACTAACCTTGTGAGATATCTCAGGGTGCTGTACAATAATTGTCACACTATTTGTATCAATAGTCTTATGAAATAGTGTAAGGGTCACATGGGGAATACCGTTGGGTGCAATTGAAATATATTGTCATTGGCTTCACAATCATGGCATAAAACATAGCACAGAGGGTGTTATTACAGTCCAGTTTATGCTGATATGAAACATGCCACTTTGATCAAGTTTTCATCACAATGACCAGTCACCAGCAGAAAACCTACAAAATAGCTTTGGTCAGCAATGAGTTTAAGTCTTGTTCTGGAGAGTAATAACATGTATGTTTACCTGTCTGACATGTGCAAAGTCTGCTACTTGATGGAGCTGCCACTGTAGGGAGGGGGCATAGCCACTAGGTGGGGGAAGGACTCTGGACTGAAAAATGATTGGCCATGTATAATGTACAGAGAGACTTCATCATGATTAATGTTGTATAATATGTATAATAATATAATTCTAGTATATATATTTGTATTAATAAACTTATCAAGATGCAACAATTAAATAAGGAAATCTGAAATTTCATAATAAAAATTGCCTAGCATCTCAGTTTTTTTTATAGGTTATGTTTTATTTATCAATACTATCATTTCACAATGTCCGACAATGGGCCAAGGCCATTGGCATTAGTGGCCCATGTCGATTTTCACACATACACATTTATACAATTTCTAAAATAGAGTTAAGTAGGCACATAAAAATCAAGTTATTTTAGGCTGCTGAACACTCAGCATGACAATACATGTAAGTTACATGTTACATTTCACACCAAATATATAAACTTAAACATAGTCTACAATTAAAGAAATAAAGTTAGCAGATGTTGTGACTATAAGCTTGTTAGTTTCAATTTTATATGTTGAGCCACCATATAACAATGTATCTAGTTTCTCTTTTGCATTTAGTTTGTTATAATGGTGAATGTTGAAATTGGGTATCCCTGCAAGGTCGTGTGCTAGTTGTTCCCTAAGATCAAGTAAAAGGGGGCAGTTAAATGTAAACAAAGGTTTTGGACATGTACATGTACATGTATACCATACATATTTCATGGAAATACTGTATTCTCTGTAATTCAATGCATCCTGCTGATAAATATCTCATTGGGTGCTTCCCACATCATACTAAACTTAATTTTCTTTAACATGACTTTCACACAATATCACTGCAGACTCTTGATATTCTTATTATCTGTGACACATAGACTACATATGATTGTTTTCTTGGAATGTTTCCTGAAAGGTCTGGATAGGAAACTATATTGAAATTAAAATTCTCTCTCTTATCACATATTTAGACATATGTATCATGTATCATATATACAGACGGACAGACCGACAGACATGACTAAGCCGATAATATGGCCCCACACTATGTGGTGGGGACATAAAAACGTATTAAAAAAACAGACAAACATAGATATAAACAAACAAATAAATATTTACCTGGTAAACTTTGACTGTTTGTTTCCTAAGTTTTTCTGCATCTACATCAGCAACAACAATAGTCTGGCACTGTTTAGCTTCATTTCTGAAATGTTAGCATAAATTTAAAAAAGGAGTGGTATCGATATGGAGAACTTTTTCAACAAATGTTTCTCTTAAACCAGTCATGAAAAAATCTAAAAATTTAACACATCGTCAATTTAATGGTCATCTTTTGAATGGGAACAATATAATTTGAAAAGTATATATATAAACTTTCATCTACATTGTTTTAGAAAACACATCAAACACTTTTTTTGTTCTTGGTATCATGTTTTCAGAGTGAAATGAAACATCTTACAGAACCTCATTGGAACAAAACGACATAAACACAACATGTTAGGTCTCTCAATATTGTAATTGTACAAATGAAATTTTGGTTGATTTTAAAAAAAGTATCTTGTTAATGAAATAAAAGTTGATTTTTATCTATTTTGGGGAGATTTTGTTTTAATTTTTGAATACTTTTTTTTAAATCAACCAAAAACTCCTTTGTAAAAGTATAATATTGAGAGGTCTAAAAACATGTTGTATATGCTATTTCGTTCCAACAAGGTTCGGAAAGACATTTTATTTTATTCTCAAGAATTGGTAGAAAGGAGCAAAACAACTGCACTAAGAAAACAATAAATGTTAACAAAAACAGTTATATAAAATATTTCTAAATAATTTTCGCATTAAATTGTTGTCGATCAGTCAACATTACATAAAATACCGTTTTTACAGAATGTTTACAATGATTGGTTTAAGAGAAAAACATTGTTGAATTCAGTTCTCCATATCGATACCACTTTACTTTGCAAAGTTCGCTATTCCTACCATCTATTAAAAATTCCTAGGCCATTTTTTCAATAACATAATACATTACGCATAAGTGCATAATACAATAAGCATAATTGTGTATAATATATTACACATAAGTTACATTACGCATTAGTGTTTAAAACTGTATCTGTTTGGTTCTTAGATATTGTAGAGCTTGCTATGTATATAGTGCGTCCCAAAAAACGCACCAAGCAAAAACATTGTAAAACCACAAAACTAGTGATGATTACATCAACTGAATTTCATTCACTATGAAGCCATGTGTCTCCTCTTTCAATTACCCAAATGCGAGTAGGTAGTTACCAGTTTCACCACCAGGTGGCTGATTCGGGTCAATTAACATGGCAGGTATACAAGAAAGTTCCCTGAAACTTGAATATTATCAACTTAAGTGGCTCAATTTTCATATAACCCTTATGCGTCTGATACTTATACTAATGAAAATATGTCCAGTAAAGCAAAATATTATCTGTCCACTAAAAGAAAAGATATTTCATTTTTAGTGATTTTATAGCATGGGGTCTATGGGGAATCTCCTTGAGCTAGAAGTCACATTTTCAAAGAAAATTAATTTTTCAAAGTTGATTAACACTTTTTAAAACCATATTTCTAGATGTAATTTTAGATGTAGATTTCAAATAGGATATTACTTTGACTGAATTTTGAATTTTTAATGACGTAAATCAAGATTATTTCTACTCGCATCTGGGTTATTGGTATGTCATTTGTTCATATCTGATAATGGACCACTGAATAATCATTGTTTTTTGCGCATGAGTCAAAAGGCCTTTGTTCCAAGTTTTCATTTGCCTCTGTGCTAGATTTGAAGTATGACAAGGTACATTATCCCAATGCAGGATGAAGTAATCTACCAACTTTGGTCTTGAAGTGATCTACCAACTTTGGTCTTGAAGTGATCTACCAACTTTGGTCTTGAAGTGATCTACCAACTTTGGTCTTGAAGTGATCTACCAACTTTGGTCTTGAAGTGATCTACCAACTTTTGTCTTGAAGTGATCTACCAACTTTGGTCTTGAAGTGATCTACCAACTTTGGTCTTGAAGTGATCTACCAACTTTGGTCTTGAAGTGATCTACCAACTTTGGTCTTGAAGTGATCTACCAACTTTGGTCTTGAAGTGATCTACCAACTTTGGTCTTGAAGTGATTTACCAACTTTGGTCTTGAAGTGATCTACCAACTTTGGTCTTTTCTTGCAAGTGGCATTCAAACATGTATTCATAGACTGGATTAAATGTTACAAAAGTGTGTTGAACACGATAGCAAATTTATAGAACACCTAAAATGAACATCTGAGAAAATAATAATATAGAAGAATGCATTGAATGTAACAAATACATGGAGTTTTGCTATGTAAATGGAAAAAGGCAAACACCCCAACATTCATCACAGGAACTTGTAGCACTACTCTATGAGTTGCTTATGTCAGATCTGAGTCAATATGTATATAAGATATACTGACTCAGATCTCGCATTATAAGCATCTCATATCATAGTCGCTACTTGCTATATTTGCACATAGCCATCATTTAGATTGATGGCTATGGAAATCTTGATATTCCCAGTCCTTTATAAAGGTCTTTTGTAAAAATGTAAGAAATCTTGGAGACACACTCTGATTCAATCGATGCATAACATTCTAAAGTATTGCTTTTCTAACCATATCGGGCTATCCGGAGTGGGAGAGTAATTATATAAATCTAAAGATGGCTATGTGCAAATATAGTAAGACTTACAAGTTCCTGTGACATACTCGAGTCTCTAGCTTACAGCTAGATGTAACTTCATTGATTTCGTATGTAATTTAGAAAAAGTATCACACGCAACTAGAAGTCCTATTTAATAATTCTTATAAATATTTATAAGAATATTAATCATATTTAAGTTGAAGTGTTGCTTGTCTGGATCAAGATCAAGATATTTCAAAATTTCTTTTCGGAAAGAACCTCAAACACAACAGATCCGCCATTTATACAGCTCACTCAGCAGAAAAATGGAGGCCATTTTGAAATGAAATTCCACTTCACTAAATTAAAATATATATATAACAATCGATTGGAACCGTGACATAAGCTGATATTCTGCAAATGTGTACATAAAGGTATGTTTCATATAACTGTGCCATAACAACTGTGCGTGTGTCAGCATGATTTACAAATATTGAATATCAGGGTGGCGGTAAACAATGACTCAAACCCGGAATATAGAGAAGGCTTAAGGACCTAAGTAACCTGTGACTTACTCGAGTCTCTAGCCAAATTACTTGGCTAGAAGACATGGCATGTGGACCACCATGCACTAGTGAATTAAACGTTGATTCTGGAGTAAGATTTTTTTAAATGTTATTCTAAAAATGGTATTGAGAATATTTCATATTTCAACATATATAGCGTAAAAAGCAATAAAACTTGATGATAGCGTAAGGCCACACTGGCCGAAGAATAGCTGTGATGTCCCTAGTCCTAGGAAAGGCTAACATCATGGAATGGGAACAGAGTCAGCACTATCAATGGTAGACTACCTTTAGTAATATAAGAAAAAAGTTCGCTTATATTACTAAAGGTTCCATTGATAGTGCTGACTATGGATGGGAAGGTGCAAAATGCAAATAATCTTACTGCACTCTTCGTAAGTATTCCATGCCAGACGTTGGGGGAATATCCAAGTCAAACTCTTCATCATCACCTGCCACTGGTAATACTGCATCTTGTAGCCCCTCACTATCACTAAGCATTGTAAAGTGTCCAAATTAATAAAAGTAAAAGAATTATTTTCTTGACGAAACCTATGTATGTGTTACTGAGTAGGCCGCTATAGCCAACCATTATCACTAGACGAAAAACAGTTTTCAATGGAACAGTTTTCATTCGAAGTTTTATTAGCATAGTTATGGATTCAATTAAAAGGATATCTGTGAAAGAACGTTAATTTCGTTATTAATTGTCAATAGTTTAGGTTTGCATATATTATTTCAGTGAAAATGATATCCCCGGGTAGTGAGTCATACCTGTCCGTTAGATGGCGTTGAATTAAATTGAGTCATTACAAAAGTAGGTCAAATGAGAAGGTAGAAAACACCTGTTAATTCTAGGTTAAATGCGTTCATTACAAGGTAAGAGCTCACGTTCTATTTTCCTCATTGTACCTGATTATATAAAGTTCAGATCTTTTCAATACTATTGATTATAAATGAGTATTTGATGAAGAAATGCAACTTTTAAAACAACTAGGTTTCATCCGTTGAATAAAAAATGGCGGCCATTTTTATCTAATATTTGAGGTCATTCGATTTTATCAATGGAGAACTTTATAATCCTTTGATAATACGTAAACGGATGCTATTATATTCATGTATTTTTATAAACAAGAACAATGCCACACTAATTTACCTCGATTAGGCTAGAGTACCATAGATTATTAGCAACATCTGAAATACAAATTCATTTCCTGATTGCTGATTCCTCATCCAAATCATTACAAATATACATGTTGATAATTTATTATGACTATAGCATATTACCAGATGTTAGGCTTCATATTTTGATCATTGTTTCCAGTAGATAATTACTCAGATGTCAGGTTCGCTGGTTGTTCAAGTGCTCACCATAAATAAATGACACCTGGATTTTCTATCACCATTTCCAGACCATGGTGATTTGAGACTTCATACTTTCTAATAATGTCTAGATACACATCCCTTCAGTTCAGTATATTAAACATTTTGTAGACTCTCATCCTAGTCTATATCCAATAAACTGAATTTCAAAAAAATTTCAGACTAAAGTCCATTTCACTGCTTCAGTGCGTCAGTAGAACGGCAAAAATAAGAAATTGGGAGACCATTGTGCAATAATATATGGAAAAGTATATTCATAATATACATGAATGACATTTGTATATATCAGATTTTTTAGTTTTTTGTGCAATAAGCCTGTGCCGTCTTGTAATTTGAAGAATTTCAGGCATGTTAATCTTATTGAAAATAACATGGCAGAGAAGCATCCAAATATAAGAGGCCACACACTTTCTAAGCCAAACTAGAAGCAATCCAAGATATACAAATGTCATTCATGTTCAATAGGAATATATTTTTCCATATATTATTGCAAAATGATATTTTGATTTCTTATTTTATAGCTTTTACTGACGCACTTTAACAGTGAAATGGACTCTAGAGAATATAGAGAACTCTCATCCACTGATGTAGCCTCTTGGAAATTCTCTTCTTTTTAACATGGGAAATCCTCACGTTAGCAAATCCAGGTGTCATTGATTTTTTATTTATGGTGAGCAGTGTGGTAAGATCCATTAAGGTAGAGTCTATTTCGTGGCCTGACTTAGTCGGTAGAACTTGAAAAATAAGATTTACCTGGAGATTACTCTCTGTTAAGCATGATAAAAGGCAAGAAGTTTAGTTAGAAATAAAAGAGTTATCTAATGAATGGGACCCTTACATGGCTCCTAAAAGGTAGAAGACACTAAATGGTGTAACACTATAAGCTGAATTTTGTCCACATAGAGCATGTGCACAATACTAAAGACATGTAAAATTGAACTGTCAAAATAATAGAAATTACTCACCAGCTCGCCTCTACCGGAAGTTATGATACGTTATGGTGTAACTACGGTAATTAATTTTAAAATATTGAAAAAATCAACAACATTCAATTTCTAGGGTGTACAACCATTTTCGAGCGAATTTGCCGATATAATAACAATATTTTTGAGTTCCCCTAGGCTATATATAAACTTCATCAATACACAGTTTATTCAACATAGGTTTTGCTTCTCGATTTTTAAATATCACTATGCAAAGACAGGGACTAATTTTAGGTAAAATCATTGCTTCACCAATGAAAATAAAAGGGAACGTTAGCTCACAAAATAAATAAATCCATTACAATGTTAAGTATATGATTTGAAAGATTGTCTTGATTATATGTGTGATCGATTGATGCATAAACAAACATATTCATTTCAACTTGCAGACCTCCATTCTGGCTCATGTATAGGCCTAAGACGCCATATTGCCTTATGTATTGTACTGCCCATGCGTGCATACTTAATGCGTGACGTCACATCGACAGAGATCAGCGATCAAGTTTGACTAAAAAATTAAAAGATCCACACTAACAGCACAAAAATGATATCAATGATCGCCTATTTCATATCAAATAAGTGTAGGATGTAAGGTTTAACATTTTTCATGTTATTTAGTATTTACAGAAGCAGAGCTTGTAAAGAAACCAAGTTTTAAATTCCGATTTTGACTGTTGACAAAAATAAAGAAAAGAGAGAAAGAGGCGACTTGTTAGAAACAATGACATGAAATTGTGATTATTGTGGGTTTTATTTTTTGAGAGTTCATCAAATACACTCATGTGTATTAATTTAAATATGTATTGTAATACCTCTCAGTTCTACCAAGGATTATAAAAACTGATCGAAATGGCTTCGTTTTTAAAGTATAAAAAACACTACCCTACCCGGAAGTAGTATAACATGTATATTGAAACCATGTGTAAACTGTAAATGGGGTCAACCCAGTTGTCCGAAACCCAGTTGTCCGAAACCCAGTTGTCCGAAACCCAGTTGTCCGAAACCCTTCTCCGAAACCCAGTTCTCCGAAACCCAGTTCTCCGAAAATTAAAAAATTAAATGTCTTAGTAACGAATCTTGTCGCAACTTCGCGAATCAGGACAGCATTGGTATCACGTTGACATTGGTTAGCCCGGTCAATAATGGGTCCGAAAGTTCACGATCATATATATATTCTTGCTAGATTCTCGGCACATAGACTTATATGGACATTCTACAAATTTTGAACCGCATTGTCCAGCACGAATCGCACTCCTTCTTGGTGAAAATTCAAGACTGCCGCCAACATTTTAGACAATTATCACAGTCGAAGAGAATATTCTGGCGAAAGGAATATCTATCTCATTAGAATAACGTATGGACGTCCGTGACAATTATATATATTCATTTGATAATTTTTTTCATTCCCTTTTCTCAATAAAATATGGTTAATTATGTTTTCCAATATCAATTGATAATATTTCTACCCTGAAAAATATCTAAAAAGAAGATTTTGGTTGTTCAGTACCACCCATTGATTTCGTCCAAATTTTCGATAAATTAATAAAATATGCTCATTTCGTATAACTTATATATGTGGCATATATACATATCAGATGTCTATCCTTTTTTCATCATAATATAAGAGGTTTGTATGTTTTAGTAGAAACGTATTCCTTTCCAAACATTTAGATTTAAGAATTTCTCCCATTGGTGATATTGTTCAAAATCAAAACTGTGTTTTGCGATATATTGAACTGTTGAAGTAAGTGTGTAATAGTTTGTAGTAGAGCCAAGATTTGATCTGTATCATGTACGTACCCTGCATAAAAAAATTCGTTTTTAGTGTGCCATAGATGTCAACCATTAACTATTGCAGAATCAAAAAAAGTTTTGTGAAAAATTAGGATAATGTTTCAAAAGTTATACACCGGACAATAAATAACTATACTCAATGCAGACAGGGAGTTTTAATTGCCCCAAAACTGAGTATCATAATGCATTTGTATCTCTTTAGTATCTTGCATGACTCGTTCATATGAATTCTTTATTTCTACCTCGTTCCTTATACGTTCTGAGACAGTTCAACCTTTGCCCCATGTCCTGTTCGTCGTTAGTATGTTGTCACTCGATACGCGGTCACGCGGTCCTAACTTCGACCGTTAATTTTTGACCTACCGGATATTTGAAAATCAATTACGAGTCTCATACTGCACCGTTTTTCTTCAAACTTGTTCCATTCAAAGCATGACAAAAATCTCTTTCTGATGGTACGTTATTATCTTAAACAGAGTTCCTACTTCCAGCCAAAACGCTGCTAGAACGAGGGACTCTTTACAATAAAGTAATGCACTGACAGAAGTGCAATTTTGTTTTGCTTTTATATAATGGAAGAAAAACGGTGCAGTATGAGACTCGCAATCCTTGATTTTCAAGCATCTGGTAGGTCAAAAATTCCAATTAACGGTCGAAGACCGCGTGATTGCAGAAAGTCAGAGACAGCACTCCTTTTTTCTTTTTAAATCATGTATATATTTCTTATTTTATAACTGTGTATACATCAGGTCATTTTACAATATTGCAATATTTTTTTTAAATAGATACAATTGCAATTATTTAAAACATTATTACAATAGTTTACAAATATAATGTAACATAAGTTGTTTAACCATTCATCAAAATAAGTATACTTAGTGTCTTGTACCTTATAGCCAAAGACAAGAGTTTTATACTTTTTCAAGCTTAATTCAATTTTAAAATCATCTTAAATATAATTTTCAAGTGGGTCTATTACATTAGTAGGCCTACTCTATGATATTGAAAGAACAAATGTTTATAGTATTCTCAGGCCCGTAGCCAGGGGGGGGGGGGGTTGGCAGGGTTCGGGCTAACCCCCCCCCCCCTGGCCAAAAATTCTTTCAAAATCATGCAGTTTTTCACCATTTTTAGCACTTTTCAAGTGATTTTGACCATATTTGGGCCTAAATTGTCAAATGTGAACCCCCCTGCGAATTTTTGAAAACTGAACCCCCCCCTTGGAAAATCCTGGCTACGGGCCTGATTCTACTTGTCTGAAAATATCACACTTGTCATTAACAATTAGTTTCCATCATGATCTTAGGAGTCACTGGCAAACCCAGAAAAAAGCCTAAAAAGGCCCTTTTGGTCAATACTGGGCCTTTTAAGGCCTTATTTTTCAATTTCAGGCCAAATTTTTAAGAAAACGGTCCTCAAAATTTCAAAATTTTGGCCAACTTTTGGGTTTTAGGGAAGTTTTTTCTCTGACCTGAATTTGCCCCCCTTGTTTGTTCCCAGATCCGCCCCTGGAAGTAATTGTTTGCATGGTAGAATGTAATGTAAAAGTTTGTATTTGAAATTGGCCACTTTTTATTTTTGGATTGCTTTAAAAGAATCCAAGTATGTTGAAACAGCATTTGACTATTTTGAATTTCACAAAGATTAATTCAAAATGATTCCAAATATGTTTAGTTGCTATAAGTTCCACCAAGATTGAATATATGTCTCTAGGACTTGCATGTTTATCCAAAAATCTATAATGCTTCAATTTACAGTCATAAAACCTTAAACTTACATTTGTATTAACATATATACGTACATCTGCTTGCCTCACTAAATATTTTAACTATATATTGAAATGGCAAAGATTGCTTAACAGTTATATATTCTGCCATCCGTTTGACCCTAGATTTGAGCTTCAGACCCTATATTTAAGGGGTCAGTACCCGGTGTTTGTAACAAATGGCAGGCTGTAACAATGTAAATGTTAATGCCTTAATCGTTAATGGATGAAGTGGGATGGGAGGTATCCCACTTATAGAGGTCCATTTAACATTAATGAGTTGGTCTTGGCACTCTGAAATGTTCCACTTGACATATTTCACTCCAATCCATCTAGCTCTATGAACGAACACTCTTTCATTGGTAAAGGGTGTATTTGAGAGTAAATATCAACTGAACGATTCCTCCATGGGCTAGTATTTAGCCTAATAAAAACTGTCGAAAGATGAAAATACAGGTGATACAGATCTTCAAATAAACAAAGTTAAATTATGCTATTCTCATTGCAAAGTGGCGTTTACATATTAACATACATAGGGGTCTACAATTTTTAAACCAATTTTCTTTATGCCCCATGGGGCTTTTGGAGAGGGAACAACATTTTTCCAATGCGTGATGGGCGTTCATAAAAGGGAAATAGTTTTCCCAAGCCAGTGGGCATTTATTTAGTAAAGTTGACGTCGTGTACATCTTTTGAAACCAAAAATTATTCTTCATTTAGGTACTCTGTTCGAGAAATAGAGATTAAATTCAAAAAGATGAAGTGAGTACATGGCGAAAATGAAACTTCTTGCGAATGGGAGAACATCCAATTTGATACGAGGACAGCCTGTCTTCGTTTCCAGTTAATCCCAAGTGATTACGTTTAGAATGTTTTGTTCTTTTACATTTTACGATTTGATAAGAGACAGAGACTAAGAAATTAAATGCGACGAAACATTTTGACAACGTAATATGTGTACTGTTTATTCTTAAAGTTTTATGCGTTAACTTATTTTATCGGTTTCAAAATGTTTCATTTTATTTTGCCTATATAAAATGTATTGAATAAGATAAGATCAACTGTTCCGTAATATATATTGTGTTTTGATGACCTTTTTTAGAATCACAATGTAAAATAAATCCCCCGTTCCTGTCATTCTGGTAACGCCGTGTAATGGATGCAATTCAAAGTGAGAGAGAGATCTATACATCAGAATGCGTCCATGCCATTAATTTTGCCAAATACATGACATGAAACTGGCTTGAGGTGCGTCCCCCTTTATCTGGTAAATTATGACTAAATTTTTCGGACAACTGGGTTTCGGACAACTGGGTTTCGGAGAACTGGGTTTCGGAAAAATGGGTTTCGGAGAACTGGGTTTCGGACAACTGGGTTTCGGACAACTGGGTTTCGGACAACTGGGTTTCGGACAACTGGGTTTCGGACAACTGGGGTGCACCCACTGTAAATCACGTGAATTGGCTGATGCAATCAGGATGTGACTAGTACAAAGTAACTATGATGCAATCAGGATATGACTTGTGCAAAATAATTGGCTTCACCTAGAATTCGCGATCTTTGCTCTTTAGCATAACATGAAGACATGTTTTGTGTTTAAGTAGCTAGATTCAAATACAAACTAAATGAATAAAACATAAACCAACCATCATTCGTTCCAATCATGGCGAATTTTCAAGGAAATACGTGTAACTGAATGTAAATCAACCGCGGAGCTCTTCAATTATGAGGTGAGAAAAATGTAAAAATAAAAACAAAAATAAATCTCACAGAATAGAGCTATTTATACGATTCTAAGTACATTTTAAGTGCTCCATACATTAGTGCAAGTATAAAAGCCATTAACCTCAACTGGGAAGCACTTTCCAACTATTTTTACGGCTTGAATTGTAAGAAAATGGCACTTATCTCAAAAATGGAAATTTGAAAGAAGCTCAATTTATTGTGAAGATGAAGTTTATATATATCTGTATATGGGGGTGCGAATATATAGTCATAGTATGGGCTAATTCGCTTTAAAATGGCGATATATACCTCAGAACTTGTATTTTGTGTTTTTTTCAATATTTTAAAGTTAATTACCGTAGTTACACCATAACGTATCATAACTTCCGGAAGAGGCGAGCTGGTAAGTATATTTCAGTTCTTTTGACAGTTCAATTTTACATGTCTTTAGTATTGTGCACATGCTCTATGTGGACAAAATTCAGCTTATAGTGTTACATCATTTAGTGTCTTCTACCTTTTAGGAGCTATGTAAGGGTCCCATTCATGAGATAACTCTTTTATTTCTAACTAAACTTCTTGCCTTTTATCATGCTTAACAGAGTTTAGGAGTCTTACTTACCCTCCAGAGGTTTGAACACACATTTCAATGAAACCCTATCACCTTTGTTGCGTCAACTATAGAGCATTTAGCACAATATCCAACAGGTAAATTATGGACCGTGAAAATGAATGAATTCCTAGTAAGTTCCGGAAGTTTCAATACGATAAATTACTGATCATTTGTGAAAATTGAATGTTTGTTATTGATTTTATAATTTACACGTGCGTGTATTCTTCTATACTTTGGTCTCAATTATAAAGCATCACGAACAGGTCCTACTGTATTAATAGACTAATACAGCAGACGACCCATTCATACTTTCCATGCAGCATTTCATTCAGACCAATAGTTCAACTATATCATGCAGTTTTTTCTATCGTAGAACAGACCATCCTCCTCTTCCCTGTCTTATTAAACTCATCTACAAAAGACCGCAAAACATTATTTTCTAATATTTTAATATTTTTACATCAGACATGGTTGGATGACATGTCACAAAATTAAAGTTCAAGGTCAAAACATTATTTTGTGATAGGGGCAACGCCGTCCCGGAAGTAAACACGAGGAAAATGGAAAAGTCCAAATTTCAATCAAGTACTGTGCTTATGCTTCATCATGAACAAAACAAAGCTGATATGGTTTCATTGAAATGGGTGTTCTAACCTCTAGAGGGTATGTAAGACTCCTAATCTTCAGGTAAATCTTATTTTTCAAGTTCTACCGATGCAGCCAGGCCACTAGTGGTTGGAAGACTGACTCGTGTACTCGAGTTTTACTCTCATTTGTCCTAAAAATCAATTGATCGAGTTGAAAACTTGAACTCGCGATTTGAAATGTTTACCAATTATTCACTCGTTTTCACCTTACCTTGACTCGCGATTCGTCTCTCCTATTCGCAATTTCCATGCTTATAGTTGTAATGTTCTGCTTATAATCTGTATAGAAAACAACTTATTTTCTATTTAATGCCATGTGCGGAAGACAAACATACTCGGATTTTATTCTGCGTTCGTTATTTTTTAAAAAGTTTCATTTCCGGTTTGATGCATTCTGGGAATATCCAACAGCCGGGAATTTTAAAACATTTGTCTACCGCGGTGCATCCTGGAACTTTCTGGATTGACGAAGTTTGTTTTCACTATTTATTCTGTAAGTTTTACTATCTATAGGGGACTAGGGGTGAACTTTAGCGATCTATAGGGATGTGCAATACGATTTAGACAATAAAAAGTATAGAGGCACTTGAAAGACTTGATCAAATTGATGAATTCTGCCGCTACTTCGGAAACTGAAACCGGAAGTAACTCAACTAAGTCAAATCGCGATTATAATCGTGGTTTTTCATGGCCCACTCGAGTGGAGATTTTCAGGCGAGTCCGACCACTACAGGCCACGAAATAGACTCTACAGCTGGAAAATAACATTTTGTTAAAAAATTGCTGTACCTGCACATGTTATTATCTGCTACACTATAAAGTATGAAGGCATGTGTTAATTTCCTTGCTTTTTTCAGGAAAGTATCATTACATTGTCTTCTTTTAGTAAATCTGGTAAGAGGTCAATGGGAACTCCAGGAAATTCTGATATTTCACAATTTTTATTTTTCCAAATTTTCTTTCAAAGTTATCAGACAACTCAGGAGTACTATTGACCTCTTTCCAGGTTTACTAAAAGTAGACAATGTAATGATACTTTCCTGAAAAAAGCAAGGAAATATACACATGCCTTCATACTTAATTTTGTACCAGAAAATAACATGTGCACTAATGTGCAGGTATAGCAATTTTTTACCAAAATGTTACTTTCCACCTGAACCTTAAAGTGGGAGACATTAATAAACCTCAACTGTCAAACATCAATATTTTTGATGTAAAAGATTGCGCTTTTGTAGTTTTAATTAATAATATGAAGGATATTCTGTGTTCACTGTGACTAGGGATTACTCACTTCCAGAGCCATGTTAGATTTTAAACTTATGGCTCTCCTACTGCGCTCTGGACAGCTGAGGAAGAGTCACCTTTAAAACATGAATTAATGTGATCAGCGGCTTACTTTTGGTCTTGTAACTGTGTCCTTCATCATTGGCATATATCTCGACTATCTGTGCAAGAGTACCTCTTTGTCAATCAAGACTTGTAATTGTTTGTCAAGTGAATTTTTTTCTGCCTAATTCCAATATGGCGGTTTTTGCTTGGAAATTAAAGTAAATATCCGGAGGCATTTCCGATATTTCCATTAAAAGACAATTTTATATTTTCTTCTTTATGCTAATTGGTTCGATCTTAACTTCTATTTGGCGCAGCGACTGCAGTAAGCGTATTTAATGAAGTCTATAGCTTTTATTATATCAAAATCCACATTGTCATTTGGAAAACCTCCCTAAGATTTACGTAAATATCTGAGCAAGAACTGCCATATTGGAATTGGGCAGAAAAAACATTCACATTTGATTGCAGATGTTTTTGTTAATTACAGGTATATGGTAACTGTTTGAGGTGAAAGTTGCAGCAAACTGCAACCATGTTGAAAGTAGTCATATTATTATTAGCTTGTCTAGCAAACACATATTCAAGTAAGTATACCATACAACGTACGTTGTGTGCATTACTACATGCATGATTTTTTTTAATTTAATTTTTGAAGCAACAAGTACAGTTGGCCTCTACCAATGTATACCTTACAATCTCAAATATTATTCTCCCAAAAGATCCGTGATACGTTACAAAGTGGGGAAATGTTTAAAATCTCCCAAATATCAATGGTAAACATATTTATAGAAAGATGAATATGTTGTTGTAAAAATCTTTAGTTTTCCTCAAATACAGTAAACATTGTAGGCTTTTTAGAAAATAGACATGACTAAGAAATGACATGAGCCCAAAATATTCTAGAATTTAAATAATTTTTGTCTAGAGTACTCTTTAGAATCTTTCTAGATCTGATTCTGCCTTTAAAATGTGAAAGTATAGTCAGATGCATAATGTTACCAAATTTGATCTCTTGATATGTCAAAAAAGAAATTTGAAAATCATCTTATATTCAGCATTGTTTTTGTTCCAGTTACCATTCCCCCACTTATCCTAGAACAGCCACCTCAAGATGTTGCCTTCAAGATAGATGAGAGTATAGAACTGAGGTGTATATCCTCAGGATCTCCTCAACCACAGTATGTATACAGTGATCTTGCATTAGAGCAAATAGTTGATGCACCAGACTGAGAAAGTGACATTTTCCTAATTGCACCAAATTGAGATTCTGATATTTTTTTGCACCTGATTGAGAATTAAACATTTTCTCAGTATGTATACCTAGCTGAGAATTTGAACCCTTTCCTTAGTTTTACCTGAGCTGAGTTCTAGGTAAACCCACATGCTATACTAAAAAAAAACACTTAAAACCAAATCAATTTATCATTCAGGTACAAGTGGCTTTGGAACAATGAAGATTTTGATGCTAGTGGTAATGATGGGCGTGTTACCCAACAGCCAGGTGTAGGAACTCTGATCTTTAGTAGACCCATAAAGAAAGATGAGGGCACATACCAATGTATCGCAGAGAATCAATATGGGAAATCACTTAGTCAGAAAATAGTTGTTAGAATTGCAGGTAGAAACTATTTATTTTCTTTATTTTAAGTGTTCATCAATTCTGAAAAACAGATGTTTTAAAATATATATTAAATAGAATATATGATTTTTGCATTTCTCAGTTGGAAGTCAAAAATCATTTTCACTGTAATGACTACAAGGGCCACATTGTTGTCAAAGAATCTAACAAGGCAAATATGTGCATTCAATCAAGTTAAGTTTAGTGATATCTAGTTACAGTACATAAGGATTTAAATGGGAATTCAGTAGTCACATTATATAGAGTATTTATTTATCTCTGAGAACAAATCTGTTTTTAATTTCAGTATTAGAAAAATTTCCCCAGCGGGATAACCCAGTTGTTTACAGGCCATATGTTGGAAGCCCCCTGACACTGAACTGTGTTCCCCCAGTCAGTTATCCACCCTCAGAGGTATTCTGGTCCATAGTAGAACCAGGAGAGAGGTTTAGACCCATAGACACCACAAACAGAGTTACAATGGATCATTTTGGTAAGATAAGTGTCAGTTAACATAAAGTGGCCACTGCACCCACTTGAAATTTTGAAAGTAGGCTTGCCCCCACCTGAAAATAAGAAAAATCAGTCGGAAAATATAAGCATATTTGACCACCTTTTGTGACAATGATTTAATAGTATTTGTTTAAAATTGGGGAATGTAAAAGGTAACAATATTCCAGTGATACATAGAAACATAGAATAAGCTGAATGGTTGTATGTCTTTCAGGAAGCCTCCACTTTGCCAATGTTCTCCAAGAGGATCGTCAGGATGGTAGAAAATATGTGTGCACAGTGCAGAACAAGTTTATGAGAGCTTTTGTGCAGGGAGAAGATGCCATTATTGAGCCACAAGGAGGTACAGTACAATTCAATATTTATTTGATATAGCATTCTGATTGGTTCATCAAATCATGACAAACGACATGTGGTATAAAATAGAATATGTCCACATGAAAGATGTACTCTATTTAATTTAGCTTAAATCACTTGCTTATGTTACCAAGTATGATCAAAAAGTAGTGGATGCTTTTTTGCTCTCATATTAATGCCTATTTGATACGTTCAATGCTTAGAACATTAAAGAATCAGTTATCGACATAGACAATTTGGCTATTATTGAGTTTCATATTTGTATAAAGTACTATATTGTATATCATTAAAGGGATATTTGTTATTGTATATTTTTTTAGTTACTGTTAGTCAACTTAATTTGGAGAATTTTGCAAATTGCAATACATGTACTCACCAATCCAATTTTTCAGAAATCCCCAGTAATTTTCGTCCAGTGTAATATGTTTAGTAAAATGGTGCGTCGCGGTTCAAATATTCAAGATTTGTTATTTCCAATAAATTGAACCATTTTGTGTTACAAAGTCGCAATAAGATAGCATCCACTTGATAAGTAGAGCTTATGTATTCATTTAGATGAATTTGAAGGTATTAAAGCATTACTTTGGGTCTAAGTGATTGATTTTTTTGTGCTAACTCTATCATCGCCCATCTAAATGAAACAAATTTCTATCATTTTCTGAAGGAAATACAGTGTAAAATGCACATTGATTCAATTTAAATCTCTACTTTGGCTTCCTTTTTCAATTTTTTTTATCCACCTGGCTTATGATTCATTTGAATGAGGACCATTAATACTTGTTCAACCCACACCTGTGAAATTCACCAATTTCACAGCTATTTATTCTTGCTAAATTCACCAAATTGAATCTTCGCCAATTTTGCCCAATTCGTGAGCGACAGCCTTTTGTGTGGGGTACTACATATTAAAGCTTTTTGTTATTATTAGAATTTGTGACTTGCCAGGTTGGTGTAAAATATGGTTAAACATCATTCTAAGACAAATTCTGTTTTCTATGAGTCATATTTGTTAGATTCACGTATCATGTTGTCAGATCATGTCTTTTTATTGCAATTGTTTGTATTAATTCTGTTCAATGTGTTGTAAATGTTGACTTATTCCTTAGATACGATTCAATCACGAAGTGCAAGTCTTCGTTGGGCTTCTCCAACAACTCAATGGACTCTCTTGGGGACAACCCATAGAGTGAAATGTATCTTTTCTGGCATGTAAGTTATCTAGTCTTAAGGCCAGTGTTCCCTGCTTTACACAAAGAAATCAGGTTCGTGAAGAATTACATGAAAACAATGCAGAAAATATAAGGAACAGAGTGTTATTTTTCAATTCTCACACAAGTTTCCTCACATTTGTCACACATGAGCCAATTCAAAAGAACATTCAAAAGCTTTTTATTTCTAATTTTATTTTCATTGTACTCAAAACAATGTAATCTTCTTCACTAGCATGAGCTCTTCAATGGTTTATAGTTGGATGCCTTCAGTATAAGACAACACCCCTCCCCCTACCATATAAGGTAATATATCATGGCCAAGAGTGTGAAAATTCCTTATTTAAGTGTCAAAGCATTGAGTTTCATGTTCCTAAACCCTGAAATGCCTGTATGTAAGAAGCATTAATTAAGAGCTTTACCCCTTTTAAGCTATATGCTGCATATTTATTCATATAAGCATTCCCATTTCCCAATCTAATGCATTTTGGTAGGTAGTTATAAATGCAAACAAATTATTGCTTACATACTAATATAATTTTTTTTTTATCTTTCAGACGGTATGCATCTCCTGGGCATCATTTTGTCAAGATTTAGCATTTAATGTTGTAGCCTAATAATATATTTTTTTATTTACACCAGACATTGTTCAGAATCGGGGTGCAGTACTAGAATGGTCCTCACCATTTCGTATCAACAGATTAAAAGGTGGAATTGTACGATTCATGTGTTTATTCTCTGGAATGTAAGTTATAGTTGAGCAACATTGTTTTCCTGATATGACTTTCCAGATAATATTTAAGGCGAGCAGTTGCTTGCTGTACTAATATTGATCTGGTGCTGTACTATTTCTGTGCTGGGCTTTATTTACAGTTGGAATGTAGATAGTTATGCTGTAAGGCTTAAAACACATAACGCTTCGCTTGTTTTGCACTTGATTGATGTGTTTTATTTTACGCTAGATATTGTTCAGAATCGTGGAGCAAAGCTAGAATGGGCTTCACCATTTAGTATCAACAGATTGCAAGGTGGAACTATAAGATTCATGTGCTTATTCACTGGGATGTAAGTTGAGCAAGAGTGTTCTCTTTAATGATTGGCACATGTATGCGGACACTATATGCACTTTGGATCTGTACTAACAATAAGTGTGTTAGATGTTCTTCAAGGTTAATATTTCTGAAAATGTTTACATATTGGAAAATGATTCATCGATCAAATATACAGCCAACAATTTGATTTAATAAATGAAATTGTTTACACAACAGTACTCTTCATGAAACTCCAGTATATATACTGTATGTACCTGTATCAAGAATCCATGTAAACAATTTCCAATGCATGTTTAATAGTTTATTTAGTTTGTATCTCATCTTTAGTTGGAGTTATGATGCATGTTGTTCTATAATCTGTCCTTATATTTCATACTTCATTTGCTTTTTTTAAACATTTACTATTGAACATTGCCTGTATTTTTTATCGTACCTAAAAAAGGTACGATATTGTCATCAGTGGGCGGGCTGCGTCTCAATTTTCTTATCATCATGATTCCAGGAAAGCCACTTCATGGATTTACTTCAAATTTTTACACATGTTACATGGTAAGAAGTTCTAGAGCTGATTATCTTTTCGGTGGCCATCTTGCATTCTGGTGGCCATTTTGGAAGTTTTTAGATAAATCTTGTCATAGTAATTCCATGAAAACCACTTAACTGAATTTACTTTTTGGTGGCCATCTTGCTTTCTGGGTCAACAAGCCCACACTGCTATGTTTTAGGTACGCTATTGTTCACCCTGTGCCTTATTTGTTTTTGATCAACACTTTATATTTCTTTTGGGGGATAATCCCCCTCTATGTACAAGAATGTAATATATTACATTAAATAGTTTTTCTTAAAATGTCAAGTTTATTATGATTTTAACATTAAAAGGTTACAAATTAATGAATATTAACATCCATTTTTACTCTAAACAATAATGTCAATTTTATACACAGACATGTACATGTCCTTGCAGAAAATGAGTCACTCCTTTGCAGAAAAAGAAAAATAGATTTATTATCCCATCGAACGAAGTTCGGAGGGATATAGGGAACGCCTCCGTCCATACGAACGTACGTTGGCCCGATTTTGTTCATGTTTTGTACCCTATGGGGGTAGAAGTTCTGCTCAAAAGGTGATTTTCAAAATGGCCGCTCATTTAAAAATGGTGGCCATTTTAGTGCCTATTTTACAGTAATTTAGGTGCAATATGTAAAACTGTAGCAATATGTTTTAAATGTATGAAAATTTATATAGGACATTATTAAAGCTAAGAAATGTAGATATTTAAGAAGCACATGGCAGCCATCTTGAAAAATGGCGGCCTTTACTCGTTATTTTACGATTTTTGCTGTAACTGGAAAAGTAGAGCGATTTTGTTCACATTTGGTATGTGAATATCATAAGCTTGGCACACTGTCTAATGACACTTTTGATAGAAGGTGGCCATTTTTCAAAATGGCCGCCATTTTAATGTATATTACGATGACTCGAAAAGTAGTGGAGCGATTTTGTTCATATTTGGTATGTGAATACTATAAGCATGGCACACTGTCTAATGACACTTTTGGTAGAAGGCGGCCATTTTAAAAAATGGCCACCATTAATATATTTTGCTATAACTGGAAAAGTAGTGGGGCGATTTTGTTCAGATTTGGTGAATACTATAAGCATGGCACACTGTCTAATGACACTTTTGGTAGAAAGTGGCCATTTTGAAAAATGGCTGCCATTTTTGCTATGTAATTTGTTTGTAAAAATACCAGCCATGGCTGTTCGATGGGAACTAAAAGGCATTTGGCGTTGCTGTTGTCTAGTTATGCTTGAAATATGTATAGTGCCTGTTACTTTCAACCTGGACTATTGTTAGGTATACCTTGTACTTACACAATGCAAATTTTGTGTTATACATGTAATCATCTTTTACAAATGATAAAGAAATGTTTAAGACTTAAATCATGTATTTACATAGAAAACCTGAAAACAACCTAGATTACAAATACATACAATTACCTTCTAAATATTTAAATCAATGTCTAGTCTTTTACTTGTTTCTAAATGTTACCTGTTGATATGAACCCAAATTTCTACAAATTATTTGTTGATTTTCTAGGCCTACCCCAAATGTTGAGTGGGATCGTCTTGATGGCAAAGTAATGCCTCCTAGGTCCCGATTGGAGAGTTTTGGTCAAGAACTTGTCTTAGAAAATGTACAAATTGATGATGCCGGGCAGTATGAGTGCTCTGGGGAAAATACTGGTATTCCTATTAGAAAATCTTTCGACTTGGTTGTTGAAGGTACGAAAATTATTTATTTGTTCTTCATATTATCTTCAATTTATTTTTGTAATTTTGTCATAGTAATAGTGTTTCTGAATGCACTGTAACATATATAAACGTACAGTATGCAACAGAATCAGAAGGTGTTTTTATCAACTTGCAGTGAATTAAAACTTGATAAAAAGATTGAATGACTGAAATATTTTCTAGCCAAACCATATTGGCGTAGCCCAGACACGAGACCTAAGAATATCCAAGCTGGTGAGGGGGACAAAGCCACCTATATGTGTATAGCTGATGGTATCCCTGCCCCACAGGTATTCTGGTTCATCAATGGTAGACCTTTGTCACGTAAGTGGATTCTTTGCCTTAACATGTACAACTATGCATTATTTCATGAGCGAAAATATATTGATAACATCTTCCTCTTTATGAGCTAAATCCAAAAATGATTGCCTTTGATGTTTTACATTCATGGATTATTCAACTTTCAGTGTTGATTTATTGTATCAAATTGAATTTTTTTATCAGGGTTTTGTTTGAATTTTGCAACTCACAGTTTCAATGTTCAAACTCGAACTCTGACTTCCAATACATTTTGCCTGTTCACTTAGAAACACTACCACGTGGAATCAGCTGCTCACTTCCACTGTCCTACAGGCGGGTGCTTCCCTTATTGCATGCTTTTATTAAAAACCAAAACAATCCTGGGTTGTGTGTCTAAGTGTGTTGAATGTGTTCATGCATTTTGCATATTATCATCAATTCTATTGAGACATGTTTATATTCATGATCTGACACTATTATTTGCTTAATTGTAGAATTGGAAGCTAATCCTTATAGACTGGTTAATGGAGGTAACATGACATTCATCAACTTGATGAAGGAAGACACACAGAATATCCAGTGTAATGCTACTAACAAGCATGGTTATATATGGGCAGATGCATACCTCAATGTACTGGGTATGTAGTATCTTAAGACACATGAATTAGATTAAATATTCTCCGGAACTGTACTTGATAGAATTTCATTTATGTAGTTGACAAATTGGGTTTAAATCATGTAAACAAAAATATAAAAAAAGGAAATCAAATTTTATAATGCTCCAATTGTCAAATATAGCTTCAACCATGTTGGCAAAGCACACCTACAGTTACATACTGTTAGATTGGAAAGTTAAATAAATCAAGTTAAATGTCGCTAAAAATATATTAGCACTAGTATATATGTGTACAGTCTATGAGCTCTAGGCAACTACTTACCAGTACTGGGGCAACACCCCAACTGACATATGAGTGAATGTGATTGCCATAATATTGAACACAAAACATTAGAAACAAACAATAGATTGTGAAGTGAACTCACAATACAAAGCACATACAAAAGGCTTACGGACAACTCATCCCCTATACAAATCATCCCTGGACAACTCATCCCCTGGACAACTCATCCTTTATCACCGGAAGCTAAATTGTAAAGTCTTTCTGGAAAAAAATATTAATTTTATACACCTTTAATCATTCAAAATATTATTTTACACTCTATTGACACAAAAATATGATGAAAGTTCTTATTTGATATTAGTCAAACGGTGCCAGTAAAACTCCCATTTCTTGTCATTATATTACATCACTCAATATTTCATTACAAAAAAGTTTCCTTCCTGTATAACTTGGAAACATGAACTTATTAGTAACTTCATCTCTGAATGCTGTGAATTTTTGCTGTAACTTGAAAAGTAGTGGAGCAATTTTGTTCATATTTGGTATGTGAATACTTTAAAGTGCCCGATAAAGTATAAAATGCGCATGCGTCCAGGTGTTGATAAACTATAAATAGCGAAAACCCAGGGTTTGTCACCACAAGGTAAGCCAGGACGTGTTGAGAGAACAGCTAGTGTTGATATTGAATTTATATGTAGCCAGATAAGTTTCCTTATTGAAATTACATATGGTTATTAGCAATACTTTGTAGGTGCTAAATAATAAAATATTTAGAGTATATATGAGAGAAATTGGTCATTTCGAACCTGTTGAAAAGTTTGTGGCTCTCGGCTACACCGGGGAATTTACTTCCATGAGTACACACATAAATGTGGGGTTCCCCAAGAGGTACGCGACAAGGTGACCTGACATCAAATGTGCGACTAAATGCTACTATCGAGAAGATAAAATAACGAATACGACAATAAGTTATTGCATGTGACAATTCCGAGCCTTCATCTCGCTGAAGTATTTTGAAGTGAAAATAGGATTTTTGTTTTGATACATACTTTATTCTGACAACTAATCAAAACTGAACAAAATTGATTGTACGTAACAGACAATTTATTGTTTTACAATGTTTTGATTGGCTTAACGAATGAAACCAACAAATTATGACATGTAAAATGACAATTTTGAAATGTAAAATTTAAAAGTGACAAACACATCCTCCCTATCCACTCTTTGGGAGCCCTAGTAAATTAGTAATATGTACATGCAGCAGTGGTAGTGTGCAGCTTATTATCACACTACGCTTTGTATTCTAAAGCCTGTTGTTTGTAATAACACTGTTCACTCAACGTATGTTTTGTGTGTGGGCAGTCAACGATAATCATTGTTTTATCCCGGTTATATGACCTCGGCAATTATAACAAAACCGTACTAAACGAAAAAACGCAAATAAGAGAAAGCTTTCACACACATATAAAAAATGAACTAGTCTAATCCGCCAGTATAAACTCTGTGCTATACGTAGCCGGGTCAGGCGCACACTTTAAGCATGGCACAATGTCTAATGACATTTTTGGTAGTAGGCGGCCATTTTGAAAAATGGTCGCCATTTTTACGTGTGTTTTTTAACTTTTTTTTCAATGTAAGTCAAAAAGTAGTTGAGTGATTTTGTTCATATTTGGTATGTGAATACTTTAAGCATGGCCCAATGTCTAATGACATTTTGGGTTTTGAAAAATGGCCACCATTTTTTACTATAACTTGAAAAGTAGTGGAGCGATTTTGTTCATATTTGATACGTGAATACTTATGAGCCTTGCACACTGTCTCATGACACTTAGGTGGCCATTTTAAAAAATGGCTGTCTTTTTTACTATAACTCGAAAACTATTGGAGCAATTTTGTTCATATTTGATATGTGAATACTTTAAGCATGGCAGATTGTCTGATAAAACTTTGGGGAGTAGGAAAAATGGCCACCATTTTGATGTGTATTATTTTACATTTTTTATTATAATTCAAAAAGTAATAAAGCGATTTTGTTTATATTTGATATGTGAATACTCGTAAGGATTGCATACTGTCTTATGACATTTTGGGTAGTAGGCGGTCATTTTTATGATATTTGCTATATATTTTGTTTGTAAAAATGCCAGCCATTTCTGTTCGATGAGATTCGCTACGCTTTGGCGTTGCTGTTGTTCTGGTTGAAATTGTATATTAAAAGTAAAATTAAAAGTAAATATTAACAAAACAAATCGCAGATTAATTGGTTGATTATATCAGTTTTTTAACAGTTTTCCTGATTTCCCCTTCAGAAAGTCTGTGTTCATATTTGTAATATATGTTTTTGAAACTTCAAACTGATCAAATTCATAACCAAAACATTTAAAAATCATTTGAATATCAAATATGAATTGATAATATAACATTAAATTAATCGAACATGCCAAATGATGAGTTGTCCAGGGGATGACTAAGTCTAGGGGATAAATTGACCAAGGGATGAGTTGTCCAGGGGATGAGTTTTCTAGGAGATGAGTTATCTGGTTACCACACAATAAATAGAAAACAATAGAAGTGCATATCTAAGTTAATATTGTAAGTGAATGAAAGGGACCTGTTAAAATGAAATGAAAACTTTAACATAAATGGGGATTGGTCAATATAAAAGTATGAAATATAGAAAGATGAAAATGAGCAGTTACAATTGTTTCTCATAATAATAATAACTAGGCCATTGATGCTATGTATGTAAACCAGCTGTTTTGTGCATTGCACCTTATCTACATCAACAAATTCAAGATTCTAACATAATTGAGAAATATACTTATTTTTGTGTTGCCCTCTATGTAGATGAGAAGCCAACTATAATGGAGACCCCAGGCACTGTGAGGGTTGCTGAGAGTCAAGATGTACAATTGAGGTGTAAGGTGTTTGGTGCCCCAAGACCTGTGGTAGTCTGGAAGAGAGGGAACATGCAGCTGACTGGAGGTCGATACACTACCTTGCCAGATGGCCATCTCAACATAACAGTAAGACTGATTTTTGCTATTAGCCCTTGTCACTAGGGATGATGCCTGAATGGTAAAAGGAAGTTAATATTAATTATGCAATAAAATAAGAAAAGGCGAATTTGGTATTCACATGTTGATCATCTTTTTTACTTGTGCACCATCCTTTATTCAAAATTTTGGGTCACACTTACAAAGGTTTCAGACATATTGGTTGAAATACTGATCATTTGTCAAGTTATTACCTCACTGAATGAAGTTTGCAGGGATATATAGAAGCTGTCTGTCCATTTGTTTGTTAGTCCAGGGGATAACACAAATACCCATTGATGGATTTGGTTCAAATCTTATTGGCTTATGCCTTATGTACCAGTTGACAAATCTGTTTCAAATTTTTTATGCTGATGCCTAGGGACATGGCATCCCTGCTCAAAATTATCTTTCAAGGTGGCCACTGAATTTCAAAGTGGCCACCATTTTTAATAAAAATGTATAATTTTTGACCAAAATAAAGGAATTTGGTCCAGATTTTGTAGGCTAATAATATATATGGTCAAAGAACCTCTGCTTAAGGAGGCATGTTCAATATGGCTGCTCATTCAAAATGTCTACCAATTTGATAAAAAATGTAACGTTTAATAACTCAAATACCTGTTGATGGATTTGGTTCAAATTTTATATGGTGATACCATATCAGGACATAGACATGTGCTCAGAAAGGAATTTTCAAAATGGCTGCCTTATTTTATAAAAATATTTTTTTTACTCAAATACCCATACCAAATACTAAAGTTTATAAAATATGTTTTGTTCAGTGGGATTTTCTACTCCATGGAGTTGCTGTTTGTTCATGTATGACAAAGTGTGTACTTTATGCGTACTTGCTTCACACCTTAATGCTGTACTTTTCAGGATGTCTCTGCTGTGGATGCTGGCATTTATTCCTGTACAGCTACTAACAAGTTTGGTTCAGCACATGCCAATGGCAGTCTTATAGTGAGAAGTATGTTTCTGAAATATGTTTTTATTGTAAGAACGTATTGGTATCGATAAGCTTATATCCTGAAATTTGTGTCCCGAGTGAACAAATTCACATCCTCTTTGTCTTAGACCCAAACACTCATACATTCATACCTGAGCTTTTCATTACTGACTCCAAACAAAGCAACACTCAAATGACCATCTGTCCAACAATTTCGATAATAATGGGAATAAGAGGTATTTGTTACTTGTTTCGTGTATAGCATTCGATGTGTGTGATATTCATGTATTACTTGGCTATTTGTTGACATTTAAAGCCATTTGGAGGAGCTATATGAAGTAGTATAATTATCATGATTCATAAACGTATTTGTCATTTTACGGGTAAAAGTCCCTCTTAGTTGATTCAGAGCATCAAAGTATACTTTGGTCAAATCTCAAAGATATACCATACCATGGATTATTGTAATTAAATGTCCAAAAATCCAGTAGTAAATATGATAACATTCTCATATTCAGGAAACGCTCCAGTCAGGTTTACATTAAGATGAAAACACTGTGGTATCTAGATAGTTGTAGGGAGAAGTAGTAGTTGTAGGTCCCTTGACTTTCCTTTTTGAATATGTTAAGTGGTAAGAGCGTTTTCCTGAGAACAAGTGATGGGTTTGGACTACTAGTTTGATAGAAAGCTTGACATTTTCATATAAATACAATTTCAATGCAAATTTTAGTACAATTCTTCAACTTTAGATTTGTGCGATCCACACCGTGTCTTCACATCTCACAATTTTTTCATGTTTTGTAGTTGCATAATACACAAAGTGTACATTTGGCATATTTTCTCTCATCAAAAGCAAAAATATCATGCAGACAAAAAAACATTTCTCTCATTATTTCAGGACGCACACTTATTCGTACTGCACCCCTTGACATCACCGTCCCTGTTGGAACAGAGGCTAAGTTCACATGTACAGCCACCACAGATCCAGAAGAAATTCAAAATCTCAAAATTGATTGGAAGAAAGATGACCAGATTATTGACTACCGTACAGCTCAGCGTGTGTTCAAGAATATAATGGATAACTCTCTCACTGTCAGTGGAACCATCAGTTTAGACACTGGGAAGTACACATGTATGGCCCATAATGGGCTGGATACGGATGAGGCGAGTGCCCAGTTGGTTGTCCAAGGTAAGTCTGTTCTCTGCTGTAATTATTTCATAATAATAAAAAAGCAATACCCTTTATGGTCACAGCATTGTTACTAAATGCTTCATTGTGTATAAAGCAATTTCACAAGAAATGGTAGTCACCATTCAATAACATTGAGTCATAAATTAAAAGGTAATACTTTTAATGGTCACTGTATTGAGCTTTGTAACTTATGCCTCATTGTATTTATCTGATGTTTAGACATTCCTGATCCTCCAACCTCCGTGACTGCAAACTGCAAGCGTGAAGAAGGCAAAGCTGAGGTTGAATGGCAACCAAATAAGGAGAACTATGCACCCATTCTCAACTTCATTGTGCAGTTCAACACAACATTCAGTCCTGACACTTGGCTAAATGCTCGCGAAAACATCACACAGAATCAACAGAAAGTCATCATTGACCTATCACCGTATGGTAACTACAGTTTCCGGGTTCTGGCCAGGAATAAGATTGGAATGTCCAACCCCAGCATGCATTCAAAGACAATATGCACCACCCTGCCTGGTCGGCCAAGGAAGAATCCCGATAATGTTCGTGGGGAGGGAGATGCCTCAACTAACCTGGTTATCACATGGACAGTAAGTTCTCATCATTTCGCCTCTTTTTAAAAATCTGTGTTCTAATGAAAATTTATGATAACTTTCAGTAAAAAATATTAAATTAAAACATTCTGTATGGTATTGTACTCTGGTTTACCCTTGAATACCCTATGCACCTGAAAAGATTTATTGCAAATACTTCCTTGAAAATCTCAATTGTAATTTATTTATTAACAGCCAATGCCAAAGATAGAACAGAATGCTTTGGGTTTCCACTATGTGGTGTACTGGAAGAGGGCTGATGATCCTGATGCACTTGAATACAATGAAAGAATTGACCAGCCAGAGCGCAACTACTTGAGGTATGTCTATATGTTTCACTATGCCACTTTATTTGTCAAAGTTCAAAGTGTGTTCATATAAACAGACAAAGCTGTAGCCATGTTTATTTGCAAGGATTCTGTAATACACCATTCACCTCCCTCAAATTAACTGTTTTTTAGCTCACATGGTGAGCTATTGCAATCACTCACTTGTCCGTCTGTCTGTCCGTCCGTCTGTCTGTCTGTCAATCTGTCAACAATTGGCCAGTTTTAAAACCTCTGTCAATAGGATTCCTGTTTTAAATTATTTTTGTTCAACATCAATATAGAAAAGCCCCTATGACTCCTGGTTCAAAAGCTCGCCTATTTTGTAAATGGCTGCCATTTTTGTCTCGCGAAATTCACTTTTTGACCATTTGGCTTAAAAATTCTGTCGATAGGATTCACGTTTCAAGTCATTTTTGTTCAACATCTATACAGAAAACTCCCCTATGACTCCTGGTTCAAAAGCTTGCCTAATTTCAAAATGGTCGCTCTACAAATAATTTCAGGTTTCCTGCATTGTAAAAAGCCATGTCACTGTAAAGAGTAGTTGTATGAAATAATTTTGTTACAAAGAATCGACAAAAAGTTATATCCGTTTTTTTATTTTCAGCCATTTTAGTTAACATTGATTTGTCCATCTGTCTCGCGAAATCCACTTTTGGACCATTTGCCTTAAAGGCCCCATATAAAGTTTAAACCACTTTGGCTTATATTGTAGTCTTACCCAATGTTATCAAAGTATGATATGTGAAACTTTTTTTTTAAATTTCAAAAAGTGGTTTTTGATAGACTTTTTGTTCCAAAATTTGTGAATTTATTTAAAACCAACTTTTAGAGGTCACTCATATCTTCTAATTAGCCACAATTCATACCAATGCATAGCATTCATCCTCCCATGTTTTTTGCCGAAAAAATTAAGAAAATCGGTTCATAAATAAGCAAGAAATGAACTTATTAGCGCATGAAAATGGTTCTGAGAAAAATGCATTTCAAAATTTTAGTTCTCATAGAAACAAATGGTACAATGATATCTAAAACATAATTTATTCTTCCTTTTAACCTGTTTAGACAATCAACATTGTTTTTTATGAAAGTCTAACATATTAAGAAAAGATTGACATCGAAAAAAAGTTTTTGGTACCTTAGTGACATCACTAATGTTTCAAAATATTTTTGATATGTTAAAACATTGAAGTGGCCCATTAAATATGGCATTTTATTATTGAAATAGTGTGTCCTTTCTTCAACCTTTGCATTGGTGTTAAAAAGATAATCTTTTTTGAAATGCATTAAGAAATATTTGATGATTAAGAAATTTCAACTTTTTTTGAAAAATGGCGGGAAATTTGAATATTTGAGAAATGAAATGCTCACAACTTTTTTTTCAAAAATTTTTTTATTCAAAAATCTCTAAAACCACTTTTTAAGTCCTGACAAATAGTAAATGAATGATAAAAAAATATTTTCAAACTTTAGACGGGGACTTTAAAACCTCTGTCGATAGGATTCCAGTTTAAAGTTATTTTTATTCAACATCAATACAGAAAACCCCTATTGACTCCTGGTTCAAAAGCTTGCCTATTTTCAAAATGGTTCTATTTTTAATAATTTCAGGTGTCCTGTATTGTAAAAAGCCATGTCATTGTAATACAGTACTATTTAAATTCCTTTCTACCAATTCTTGAGAATGAAATAAAATGTCTTTCCGGACCTTGTTGGAACAAAATAACACATACAACATTTTCTTATACCTCTCAATATTATAGTTATACAAAGGATTTAACAAAAAGAATGCAAAAACTTAAAACAAAACCCCCCAATGAAATAAAAATTGAGATAAAATTTTTATTTCATTAACAAGATAACTTTTTTAAAATCAACCAAACTTTCCTCCTTTGTACTGTACAATATTGAGAGACCTAAACATGTTGTGTTTATGTCGTTTTGTTCCAATGAGGTTCGGATAGATGTTTCATTTCATTCCGAACATATGATACCAAGAACAAAAGAAGTGTCTGATGTGTTTTCTAAAACAATATAGAGAAAAGTATATATATACAGGGTGGTCCAAAAAAAAGTGAACCCCTGCAACTGGCCATATTTCCCTTATTACTTGCAGGAATTCTTTTTTATTTTCACATGTTGTAGAGGAAGGTCTAAAATTTATGTTGGTACCATACATTTTTCTTAGTCTTGAAATTTGCAGAAATTATAAGCCCTAACCAAATATTACTGAAAATGGACAAATTGTGATTTTCAATATCCGCGATTCTTCAACCCTTTAACACCTGTCCCCTGAGAATTTTTTAAGCTGCAGTCTTAAAGAACTAATATTTTCTGACTTTGTTCAATTTTAAATCCTGCACATTATGGCTTAAACTAGCATCCTACATTTGTTAGTTGCAAAGTTATTGTGATCCAAAGAGATTAAGCTTCCACAGACAAAAACATTTTCCAGTGAAATCATGAACATACCCCTATATGATCTTGAAATGTCAATATCTTCATAAATCATGGACCAATTCTCATGATATATGGCTCAAAACATTGAGCATTGGATTTTCTTTTTTTTTTAAAGATATTTGATGAAGGGGTTATCAGATTCCTGGTCACAGGGGGCAACTTCCTTCCATAAGAGGCCCCCTCTAATTATTGGTGTAGGTAACATACCCCTGAACTGTGGAACAGTTAAAAATGCATCAAAATGATCAATGAAAGTGTGAAATGTGTTTTCTGCTTGATTAGTGTCCCCTTTATCATATGGTAGGGTTTTAAACTTGTATCTCTAACTGAAAGCTGTTTAAGATCATCCAATGTGTTTCAACAATTTCTGTGAATCACATTTGTAAAATTTTGTACAATATCTAATTTCCAGGCATGTTTGTTAAAAAAATTGTAATTTCTTCAGTATTTAAGACTGAGAATAAATTATGGCATCAACCAAAATTTTAGACCTTTCTCTACAACGTGTGATAATATGACCCAATTCATGCATGTATTAAGAAAAATGTAGCCTGTTGCAGGGGTTCACTTTTTTTTGAACCACCCTGTATATATTTCAAATTATGATATTACCATCCAAAAGATGACCTTTAAATTGACATCGTGTAAATTTTTCAGAATGTTTTGATGACTAGTTTAAGAGAAACGCGTGTTTAAAAGGTTCACCATATCGAAACCACTCCTTTCCTGCCATTTTTCAAATAAAAGTTGTAGTTTTCTAAAAAATCATCAAATATTCCACTATACAATGCAAAACACAACATCTTTTCAAACATCTTTGCAAAGATTGGACAGATGACACCATTGAACCACTTTCATGTGAAAAAACACTTTTTGAAGTTAAAAAAAAGTTTCACATATCATATTTTGATAACATTGAGATAGACTACAATATAAGCTAAAGTGGTTTAAACTTTATATGGGGCCTTTAAACCAAGTAATGCATTTAATAGTTACTCGATGCTTGTAAAGCTATAAAAAATAAGCACTATTTTTGTTCTAATTTTATTTATTCAACTTTGAATAACATGTCTTGAAGGTTAAAAATAAATGCAGAACATCAAAAAATTTGAATATTTTATATTTTCTCCATCAGGGTCGACAACCAGCCTGTCTATGTACCTTATGATATTCGTGTGAGATCCTGGAATGCAGAGGGCTCAAGTGAAGTGGAACCAACAGTTGTTACTGGCTACTCTGGTGAAGCTGGTAAGTCAAACTATTCTACAGTGATATAGACATACATCATTTTCTTCAGAAAGCATTACTGTATAACATGAAATATTGACGTGGATATAAAGTTGCCGATTGCCGAATGTAAAACAGAAATGGCAACATAAATTTCGGAAATATAATTAAGTAATTGAAGATCGATCTTAGTGGGCGATAATATGGTAGTTGTCTAACGTGCGTTAACTTACTGTAATAGGGTAATTTTCGAACGAGTATCAACGATAAAATCGAAGCTTTATTCCCCAGCATAAAATTACAATAAAAAGTTAATAATAAAAATGTTGCAGTTAAAATGCATGCAGTAAAATCTATAAAATATTAAAAGGATTGTCATGTTAAAGAGTTAAAATGTCAGAAGATCTAATTGTATCCAAGTGCTTTGGAAATCCCAGTATTAAAAGTTTTTAATCCCAATTTTAAACGTTTTTAATCCTGGTATTAATTTTCCTGAGCCTATGGAATGCAGGTATTATGTGAATAAATCACTCGAATTGTCACTCATAATGTCAGGATGTCAGGTTTTCTGAGTCAGTCAAATGAAGGTGATTAAAATTCAGTTGTAAATCAAAATTATATTAGGGGTGTCAGCGTAGCAATATTTTATTTGGCTTTACATTTAGGGGTGTCAGGTCGGTAAACTTATATTCGGCAATAACAATTTTAATCCAATTCCGAAAATAAATCATCCGGATTTAATACATGTTATACAGTATACTGTGCATCGAAATCAATATTGTCAGCATAGTATTCAATAAACATGAGTATAATGATTTCCGTTGACACAAACGTGATATTGCCCGTTCTAAACATGAAACTGAAGCTGTTCTGGTATTTGAAGTAGACTTCTTAGCGCTTGTTTTGTACGCGCGCTATATACATTACTGTATTGATTCATGGACTTTGCGTTTGCAGTTGCATTGTGAAAAACATCGCTAGCTTAAAGTCTCCATTCAGAAAAATCACCCAGTTTACATAAAGTTCCTAACTCTCTGGAACTTAACTGTGAAGTTACAGAAAACAGAAAACATGAAATGTGGTTTTCCACTTACTCATTTTCTAAATGTTTGATGATTATCACTTACACTCTTATGCCAAGCTCCCAAATTGCTTCAAACTGAGAAGTAACTTGGCCATTTAATGTTCATTGACATGAGCATATATTTAATATATATTTTATTAATGTTTCATGTGAGAAGGGCATTGTACAATTCTATTTGTGATATAATATACATTTGTTTTGAATTATATTGCAGAGCCTCTTGTGGCACCACAGAATTTCAACTATGATGAGTCAACATTGACGGCTACAGAGTGTACTTTTACCTGGGACCAAGTTGATACATCCCCTTCTCAGATCAGGGGCTACTTCAGAGGGTACAGGGTAAGTCATGTTTCTTTATACAATCAGTTTTCTTGCTGGTTAACCCTAGATGTGCGTTGAGCGAGTTTACTCGCTTTGACGTCACATTCCATGTAGACGATCGGCGAGTTTACTCGCTTGATAATGTTGAAAGTGTTTGCAAAAAGTCAGAAGTCTTTACTTAAATAATTTGCTGCTGTTCTTCTCCAAATGTGATGGTTTTGATAGTTGATGGTGTTGTTAACATTCATACAACATAATTTTTACAAAATAAGTTAATTAGACACAATAATAAATGAAACAAAAATAAATTTAAACTTTTCATTTCGAAAATATTGACTGGTAGTTCGAAACCGGAAGTAGTCGTAAGTGAACAATTTATTTTTATTTTTTGGATTAAATTGAAGAATACTCATCAAATATGAGAAATCAAAGGGTTAAGATTCCTCTTGTGTAGTGCAAATGTTTAAGTATTTAACCATGCATACTACATGTAAAATAAAATACTACAAATATTTCCCGAAAGCCTTACATCATTTTTCAAAACTTATAGTTCCCATAATTTTACTAAAAAATGTGCCTGTTTTAGAAATATCAAAACAAGATATTGAATATCACTATTGTTTATAGCTATTGTAGCTAAGACCAGCAACTGACCAATTATGTTTGAGTTTTCTACATTAGAATAGACAAAAATGATTTCTGTTTTTTATTTTTAGATCCAGTACTGGGCACAAAAGGATGGACCACAGGAGATGCGAGAAGAAGATATCATTCTGATAGATACACGTTGGTCTGATGGACGTCGTAAGAAGCGACAGTTGCCCTCAACCGTCTCGTACAGGGTGAAACATCTGCCTCAGTACCAAGAAGTGATTGCAAGAGTGTTAGTGCTAAACAAACGATATGCTGGACCCACTAGTGCTGAGCTTTCATTCAGAACCAGAGAGGGGGGTAAGACAGAATGTTTTAGACATTATTATTGTTAAAAATACCAATTTACATACTTGTCTTTTAGTTTTCACTTTTATTTGATGAGATGAAACACTATGCATAAAACTTTGCTATCTTGAAAATGCACTTATTAAAATATCAGTGCTTCAGTCAATGAGGGAAACTGATATTATTATTCCACCAAACGAAGTACTAGGGGGATATAGGAAAGCTGTCCGTCCTTTTGTCTGTCCTTCCGTTTGTACGGGCGATAACTCAAATATTGGTTGACGGATTTGATTCAAATTTTATAGGCTTATGTTTTATAGGCTTATGCCTTATGGGGGTAGAATCTCTGCTCGAGAAGGAATTTTCAATATGGCCGCTTAATTCAAATGGCGGCCATTTTTCATAAAAAATGTAATCTTTGATTACACAAATACTAGTTGACGGATTTTGTTCAAATTTTATATGCTGATGCCTAGGGACAAAGTAGATTTGTTCAAGAAAGAATTTTCAAGATGGTGGCTGAGATTTTACAATTGCCACCATTTTTTTCTTAAAAATACTTAATCTTTGATAACTGAAATACTAGCTGATGGATTTGGTTCAAATTTTATATGCTGCTGCCTAGGGAAAAAGGACCTACCCTGAAGAAGAGATTTTTAAAATGGCTTCTAAATATCAAAATGGCGGCCATATTTCGTACAAAACGTAATCTTTGCTAAATTAAATACCATTAATGGTTCAAATTTTATATGATGATGCCTAGGGAAAAAGTAGATTTGTTCAAGAAGGAATTTTCAAAATGGCTGCTGAATTTCAAAATGGCTGCCATTTTTCATAAAAAACCGTAATCTCTGATAACTCAAATACTAGTCAACGGATTTAGTTCAAATTTTATATGCTGATGCCTAGGGATAAAGGAGCTACGCTGAAGAAGAGATTTAGAATGGCTGCTAAATACCAAAATGGCGGCCATTTTTTGTAAAAAGTTCTCTGTTTACATATTGTTATAAAGTTTTAGGCCATGTCCTGATAATCAGTGGCTGTGCCAATAAATAAATAAATTTGTTATACTCAATGAAAGGCAATTTAGAGTAGATTGTAAATATTGTATCGGTTTTGTAATTTGGGCCTCGTAAAATTCAAAATGGTCGCTTATGTGGAATAATTTTCTCTCTTCAAAGTATGGCTATATTCTTTTCAAATTGAAAGAAATTTAGGAGATTGTTTTTGTTTTGCTGATTTGTGCCTCAGAAAATTCAAATTGTCTTTATTTTTTGTGTCTTTAAATGGTCACCCAAAAAATGTTTTTAAAATTGGTAGAAATTGTGATATATCTCTAATGTTTCCAATGTTTATATATTTTTTGTGACAAATAAAACTTCATATATGTTATAATGTTCGTTGGGATTTGCTACTCCGTAAGGTTGCCGTTTTCTAAAATGTTTAAAATGATTTTTGTCATTTTCCAGTCCCAGGCCCTGTGTCCAGTTTTGAACTTTTAGCAGTTGGTCAGAACCACTTTGATCTTAAATGGGGCAGACCCATACAGAACAATGGTATCCTGACAGGCTACCAGTTGGCTTTCCAAAAAAGTAAGTAAACATCGTCAACTGTATTTCAAACTGACTCGGTTATCAGACAAGAAATACAAATTGTGCATAACAGTATTTCACAAGTAAATACCTTTATGAAAGAGTGTAACAATTACTAAGGTATGCACAGTAAAATTAATAGTTCATTTTATTAAGCTAAAAAAGATTAAAATGAATAATATAATTTTGTATAATAGCATGATGCATGAAGGTATAAATAGGCCTTCCTTAACTTTTTCATTTTGTGTTTCCAGTCAAAGGTTTGAATCTAGATGTGCTCCAAGAAAGACCCCCTATAATGAACGCAAGTGCCACTGAGGGCAGACTGAATGGTCTCCAGGCTAGCACAGACTACAGGGTGTATCTGTGGGGTATCACCCAGAAGGGACGTGGAGAGGAATACTTCATGGACCTACGAACATCAGATCCTGGGCGTTAGAACCTTATATTATTATTCATAATTGTATTAGTTTTTATTTTTCGTAGAGGTCTACCTGGTTAATATTAGTTTTGATCCTGAGTCACTAGTTTTCAAGAAACATTACATTATCATTTTGATTTTTTCAGAGGTCAGAACTGCGAAAAAAGAAATTAACCAATATTGCTATAAAGATGGCTAATCCGGCGGATCCATCCACCTGATTTCAAACTTTTAAAAACTTAACTTTTTCGCGCCAATCTTATGATCCAATTAGATTGCCCGATTTATTCAGTGCCTTACATGACTTCCTGTTGACCTAGAAATGGCGATCTTTGGAAAAATATTTCCCAATTCAACAATTTAAACAGAATTTTAGTCGTTTTTAGTGAACAAATCATACAAAATGGCGGCCAAATATGATCACAACGAAAATGTGGAGGAAATGGATTGCGATTTTGAGCTCTTAAGGCTCTTGGAAGCCGATAATGGCCATCGAAAAAAGAAACTAGAATATTTTCTGAATGGAAAAGTTGAACATTCGATCGCTACAAATTCAGTTTTGGATTCCGAACAGACGTTGAAGCTTCCCAGGGGCAAAACGGCGGAAATGCGAAGGAGTATTCATGGTATATTCATGCCCGAGTCATGTTTATTTACGAAAAAATTCATGAGAATTTATTTCCATGAGCCAGGACGGTGAATCTTCCTTTTGTGAAAATTTTATCCAGATTCATTCAGTAGTTATTGAGATATTAATTTTTTAGTCCAGGCATATCATTTTTTGCACTCTTTGAAAAATAAACCAGTCGCGTGGGATATATTTGCTGAAATAAGGCAGCATGCTTAAGGTTAATTAGCTCAAGCCCTGGTGTGTAGATACCAAGGCAAAAGATGGCAGTTCCTGTTGAATAATAACATGAAAAAATCTTAATGCAAAATCACAGCACATTAAAGTTAAATGTGCCAGTTTAACATTGTTTCTTCAAAATAACTGTTATTTAGGTATGTTACACCATCTTGTTAAAGTTGTATGATCTTGATTTATTGGGTTATTAACGTCTTGACTACCAGAGTGATGAGATTTCTTGTCACCTAAAAAACAACTTTGAAACCCAGAGTGACAAGATAATCTGACAAGAAAAATTTCACTAAAATTGCTCTTATTTGAAGAAACTTCATTCATTTTACACAAAATAACTTTTAAAAGTGTAGAAAACATCTCTGCCAACTGATTTCACTAAATTGAGCATCACCTGTTGTGTAAGCATGTATATATAGTTACATGTCAAAAGCTGGCAAAAATGAAAAATTCTCTGGTTTCACACACATTTTAGAGCCTGGGATTTAAGAGGTTAAAACTTGGAGAATTTTTTTCAAAAATTGAATTTGTTTGCCATTTCAGCACCAGGAGCGCCATCATTTGTGATCACTAATGTTACGGAGACTGCTGTCAACTTGACGTGGGTACCCTCCCGTTCTGGCATTCCTGGTAGTGTCTTCTATGTACAGTTCCGAAGACAAGGTGAGATAAGTGTCATACTGCTAGGTTTTGATTGTAGAAAAATGAATTTTTCAATCATAAAAAGAGACAGAGTTTAGTTGAAAATAGTTATGAAGAACATTATTACACTCGGAGGTAGTTAAGTTGTCAATCATTATTTTTTATGACTGAAATTTCCTACAGAATTTTGTTTTTCATCATCCTAATTTCCTAATTTTGAGTGAATATTTTTTGAGGAACAATAAAGGTCATTGAGGTAAATCAAAATATAGCGTCAAATTACTAAAGAAGTTGATTTTGAACTGTGAAGTGCAGATGTGCAGAATCACCAAAAGGTGGTGTGACATTCTACATTTTCTTAGTTCATTTTTTTAGTTAGAGGGTGTTAAAGGGGATTTAAGTTAATTGAAATTCTATATTTGTGAAAATGTTGATTTTGAAGAGTAATTTGGGTGAATGCAAATCTACATTTTAATATTAAGTGAATTATTTACTTTATGTTGCTTTATAGGCAAGTGGGAATGGCAGCAGAGTCCTGATGTGTATGCTACACGCTACCACAATCTGACCAACTTAGATACTGGCAGCTATTATGAAATCAGGGTGATTGCAAAGAATGGAGCTGGTGACGAGACACCTAGTGCTATACAGGAGGTCTGGACAAAAGGAACTGGTGAGAATATTTCAAATAGTTAATAGGGGTTTCATGTCTGTTTTGTACTAATACTGCATTTTACCATTATTATTTTACCATTATTTATTTTACCATTATTTTTATTTGGTATATAAATTATGTACTATGACGTTAACTAAAGCGAATTCAAATAAATGGCTCCACCAAAGGTATTTATTATGATATCATTGGTACAGTTGATAAACTTGGAAAATTGATAAATTCAACATAATTATATTGTCATTAAATGAAACATAGTGTAATGTTATGCACTAATATTACTTTATTTGTTTCTAATTTCAGAGTCTGTTCAATCATTCATTTCTTTCCTCTGGCTCCTCATCATGTTATTAGTCCTCCTCATTTTCTTCATCCTGGTTGGCCTTGTCTTCTACTTCCATAAGAAGTTACCTGAACGACAAGAAGGTAAGCAAAATTCAACAACAGTATCTTCATGCCTTAAATTTTTATTTATTTCATGGTATTGTATTACTTGATGAATATATGTCAGTTGAATAACAAAAAAGTTTGTTAATAATACAGTGAAAGTCATTCTGAGATTATTCAGCATTTCATTTGTCACCAGGCATGCTAGATTATGCTCTGTACATAAGGCTTGTAGTGCTTAGTTCCTATCATATATATGTATGCCTTTTAGAGGATATTGTGACACAATTTTTATCAAGTTATTTTGGTCGACCCAAAAATCAGAACCCTCTAAAAGTGTAATAATTCCTAAATACCCATCCTATCAACCCAACTTTTTATGTGCATTAACTAGAATCTATGGATGATAATATGATATTAAGTCTTTTACACAAAATTCATTATTTTCGATATCATGAATGATCTTAGAATGTGTCCAATTTCTGGAAAATCAACATTGAGACAAAATCATATCTTGAGATTTTATGAGGAAATTCCGAAGAAGATGTGAAATGAAAGTCTCATTTAATATTTTAATTTTTTTTTTTTTTTTTTTTTTTTTTTAAATCATGTATATACAGGGTGTTCCAAAAGTAACAGGACTGGTGCTGGCATTTTGTTGGATATGCACCAATTGTCTTCAAAATCGTACATAATATACTTTCATGTATTGTTACTAAAATTGCAAAGTTTCGATAAAAATTATTAAACTGGGGTAGAGTTATGGTTGCTATGGTAACATGACATCACAATACCCGGGGCAACATTCGACGCAGAAAATTACGGAGACTTTAAGCATTTTGTACATCCCATATCAAAGTTAGAATCCAACAACTGGTGGGAATTACATTTGCTAAATACATCATTTGATATTCCTATCTATCCTCCACTTTGACAAGTAGGTCCTCTTGGGTCAGTCTAAGATTAACACTCTGTATCCATGACTCAAACACATGAGTGAACCCATTTGATGACATGTCACGCAGGGTTGATAGGACAACTTGGGGAAGGTCATTCTCATCTTTAACGGTCTTACCGCGCTGATTACATTCCCTTCTCCACATAAAAGTAAAAATTAGATATTGCATGATCAGAAGATTATGGGGCATGGTCTTAGACCTCAAGACCTAGCTCCGCTATAGGTGCAGTGGTCTTTAATGCTGACTTGCGGGCAGGTGCTTTATCAAGGTTGGTTACTGGTTTCATATTGGGTATTTTCAAAAACTCAACAGTGAATTGTGCAGAGTGTTATACATAATTATATTTCAGGAAATTGAATAAACATTATTATTATGAAATCATACTTGAATCTGAGTTGTAGAGCAACACCATAACTATAAAGCAACTAATAAAACAAACAAGAAATGTTGTATTGTAATAGGTGAATTAGATACTTTCTTCAGTTATATAAAAATGTTAGATACTACATTTTCATGAAAAAGTTGCCCCGGGTATTGTGATGTCACGTTACTATAGTAACCATAACTTTACCCACATTTTATCATTTTTTCTGAAACTTTACAATTTTAGTAACACTACGTCAAAGTACAATTTGTGAAAATTTGAACACACTCGGTGCAGAATTTACAAAATGCTAGCACCAGTCCTGTTACTTTTGGAACACCCTGTATTTCTCATTTTATAACTTTGTATACAAGTACATCAGGTCATTTTACAATATTACAATATTTGTGAAAAATGATATAATTTCAATTCTTGAACATTATTACAATAGTTTACAAATATAACGTACCATAAGTTGTTTAACCATTCATTAAAATAAGTATAGTTAGTGTCTTGTACCTTATAGCCAAAGACAAGAGTTTTATACTTTTTCAAGCTTAATTCAATTTTAAAATGATCTAAAATATAATTTTCAAGTTGGTCTATTACATTAAGTACTCTATGACATTGAAAGAACAAATGTTTATAGTCTTCTACTTGTCCGCAAATATCACACTTGTCGTTAACACTTATTTTCCATCTTAGAAGTAATTGTTTGCATGGTAAAATATAATGTAAAAGTTTGTATTTAAAATTGGCCACTTTTTTATTTTTGGATTGCTTTAAAAGTATCCAAGTCTGTTGAAACAGCATTTGACTATTTTGAATTTCACAAAGATTAATCCAAAATGATTCCAAATATGTTTTAGCTGCTATATGTTCCAACAAGATTGAATATATGTCTCTAGAACTTGCATGTTTATCCAAAAATCTATAATGCTTCAATTTACTGTCATAAAATCCTAAACTTACATTTGTATTAACATATGTACATCTGCTTGCCTCACTAAATATTTTAACTCTATATTGAAATGGCAAAGATTGCTTAACAGTTATATATTCTGCCATCCAATTGACCCTAGATTTAAGCTTATGAAGAATTTCATCTTGGGTACACATAAGATCATTAACATATAATATATTTGAATTTATCCAGTTTACAAAATACAAACATTTGTTATTGAAAGTTATGTCTTTATTGTGCCATATCACCATTTGTCTAATTTCTGCAAATGTTATGTTATCAATTTTGGATTCTGAGCCTCCAAGAATACTCCAAGCATGGAGTAAATCTTTGTAAAATTGAGGCAAGATACTAAAATTACAAATATTCTCTGGTTTTCCATAAGTAGATTTAAATATCAAAGTATCTGGGAGTCCAGTTTTACTTAATATCTCTCTTGCTAGAATATTCCAACTTGCATGTTTATTCCCATACTCAATGTCTAATATCCATTTAATTTTAAAGGCCCTGAATTTAGATTTTAAGTGAGGCATTGAAAGTCCACCTTTAGACAAAGTATTAATTAAGACAGATCTTTTAATTTTATCTCTTTTTCCATCCCACAAAAATGAATAAAGTTCTGAAGTAATTTCTTTCAAAAAAGTTTCATTTGGTGTGTCAATGCTTTTTGCTAAATACATCAGTTTAGATAATGCAAGTGTTTTAATGATAACTATTTTCCCATAAAGAGTAATCTTGCGTTTTTTCCACAAAGACAATGACTTTCTCATTTTATCTGCTATGCTATTCCAATAACCCAGATGCGAGTAGAAATAATCTTGATTTACGTCATTAAAAATTCAAAATTCAGTCAAATTAATATCATATTTGAAATCTACATGTAAAATTACTTCTAGAAATGTGGTTTTAAAAAGTGTTTATCAACTTTGAAAAATTAATTGTTTTTGAAAATGTGACTTCTAGCTCGGGGAGATTCCCCATAGACCCCATGCTATTAAATCACAAAAAATGAAATATCTTTTCTTTTAGTGGACAGATAATATTTTGCTTTACTGGGGATATTTTCATTAGTATAAGTATCAGACACATAAGGTTTATATTAAAATTGAGCCACTTAAATTGATAATATTCAAGTTTAAGGGAACTTTCTTATATACCTGCCATGTTAATTGACCCGAATCAGCCACCTGGTGGTGAAACTGGTAACTACCTACTCACATTTGGGTAATTAAGATCATGCAATTTAGTTTGATCTATTCCAAAGTAGACACCTAATGATTTTACTTCCTGTTTCCAGGAAATATTACAAAATGTAGTATTGTTATCATTTTTAAAGTTACCAAGTTTTATACCTTCTGTTTTTTCTAAGTTAAGCTCTAAACCAGAAACAGTTCCGAAACGCTGTATTTCTTTAATAGCTATATTAATAGAGTTTTTTCCATGAACAAAGAGAGTGGTGTCATCTGCAAGTTGACATATTTTGACTTCTTTGTTTCTTACTTTAATACCTTTGATTCTAGAATTATTTCTAATATTGATTGCCATTGTTTCTGCTGCAATGAGATAAATCAAAGCAGAAATGGGACATCCCTGCCGAATGCCCCGAGATACATCAAAATATGGTGATAAGTAACCATTATTAGCTACACAGCTTTGTATTCCATTATACAAGGTTTTAATCCACTGGATAAAACTAGTGCCAAAATTAAATTTCTTTAATGCTTCTAGAGTGAAGTCAATTTCCAAACAATCAAAACATTTTGAAAAATCTGCAAAAATAATAGCAGAATCTAATGTTTTTCTATATTTATTAGCATATTTGATTACGTCATTTATTAGCCTTATATTATATCCAATAAATCTTCCTTTAATATAGCCCTGTTGATCTTGATTTATAATAAGTGGTAATATTTTATGAAGTCTCTGAGCTAAAATGTGGGCACATAATTTGTAATCTACATTAAGCATGGTTAAGGGTCTCCAGTTACTTAATATTTGGTTATCATTTTTCTTATGTAACAACTTTATAATGCCTAATCTCTGAGAGAAAATTAATTATCCTTTACTGTAACCATAATTTAAAACATCAGTTACCATTTTACCAATTAATGGCCAAAACGTTTGATAGAATTCAACAGTTAATCCATCTTGCCCTGGAGATTTATTAAGCTTCATGCTAAAAATAGAATTTTTTGCTTCATCATAAGTAAGCTCTCCTTCACAGAGATCTGCTTCCTCTTTAGTTAATGCTCGTTTAATATTAGTATTGTCTAAATAATTTTTGATTTTATCCTTTTGTATATTTTTTGAAGTATAAAGGGTTTTATAGAAATTCTCCTGCATTTGTAATATTTCATTCTGATTACTGACTACAATTCCATTGGGACGTTTTAAATTATATATTGTTTGATTCTTCTGTTGGTGTTTAATATTTTAATTGAGAAATGAAGAATAGGCAATGGTAATACACCTATTAAAAAATCATATGACTGAAATTCCTGGCCTCTGAGCAAGAACACCTCAAACGCTGTATGAATTCCATTGGATGAATTTTCAAGAAATCATTAAGACAGCAGAAAGATCAGTCAAAAGCATTGCATGACATGTGATTTAAAGTCAAATATTTATTATGATTTGGAAGAGGAAGAAAGGAGAACTGTTAAACACCTGAATGGAAAAATGATCAGCTTAATTTACACCTATCTAGGGAGGTTTCTAAGAATGGGGGTATGAGAACACCTGAAATCACTATGTGTGATTGCATTGAACGCAGTTCTAAGATATCACTCAGAAGGTGCTTAAAGATAGCTTAATGGTTGTTGGGACACTTTCTCAATAATAATCTCAACCTATACTCACAAAATACAGCTTAACAAGAAGCTAAAAGAATGTGATGTGTTCAAACAATGTGTAATATTTTGGTTTTCACGAAAATCTTTTTCATTTTCTTTCAAAAGTTTGGCACATTTTCTAATTAATTATGTAACAAATTTGGTCTCACATTGTCATCCATAGATTGTGTACATAAAAATGAAGCTGATTACATATGTACAAGTATATGTATTAAAGAAATTATTTTATTTTTGGAGGGTTCTGTTTTTTGGGTCACCCTGTATATGGGACTTTTGGATTTGAAATGTTATACCAATGTTTATCTGACCATTGTTATTCCTTAAGATTCTGGTAAGGATCTTTTACTTTCCCCACATTTTATGTATTTAGTTAATTTGTTCAAACTTATTGTTCTTATCCAAACTCTCTATTCCTAACTGAACCTAATTTTCTTCACTGTTCATATTGGTTTATGGGAAGGGGTATACAATAACTTCTAAAAAACTTATATGATCGGATGTTTGGAAATTTGCTTGTCTGAATCTAAATTTAACCCTTAAACAGTAAGGCTATCCAGAATGACACCAACGGTTAGGGGGGGGGGGCAGCTTACTTATAACTATATTGAGCCATTATTGATGAAGAAATTCATATCCTTATAACATGCGTTTATCGCTTCAAGTAAAAAAACTGACAATTTGGGTATTTCAGTAATTTTGGCAAGCTCTAACTTTCCTCCTAGGGCGGTTAGGGTCACAATTTTTTCGCTATAACATGCCTAATTCAATTTTAAGAAAAGCAAGAAAATTTCAGATCAAAAGATAAACTATGAAAAAAGTTATCAGAAAATTCATTTGTGCCCTCCCCCACCGTTTAAATGTTAATACTGTACAGCAAAATGATTTTTTTATGTATTTACTTTATGGCATGTATTTGAGTTTATTTCTGTTGATCTGTTCTTAAACCTTTATTTTATTGCACAGTTTATTTGTTATATACGTGTTTTGTATGAATGAATACTTTTTGAAGTGTTGTTCAGTCTTAATTATATAAGAATTGAACTCAGCATGTAACTTTATATTGTGTATTATTTGATGAGAATTACATGTTGTGTGTTGATTAATATTTATTAATGTTTTTTTTAATGTTTTATTTGGTCACACTGGAATAGCCTGACTACGGTAAAGTCAGATACCGTTTTCACAAATGGCGGACATAACTATCGCTTCAACTGTTTAATCACTTGGTCCTCATTTCATGGGAATTTATGGTGGCTAATTCTGTGCATGCATTAAGCTCTTGTGATAATGTATCATACGAAATCTGAATTTGAGTAATTTAGAAACGGCATATGGTATAATAATTACAGTGTCCGTTGTCACGTATCTCATTTTGATCAGTTAAATTAAAGACTTTATTTCGATGGTAGAACATTATTAACTGTACAATGAGTATTATGACACTTTATTTTCATGAAAATCTATTGAAGCGATGGTTATGTCCGCCATTTGTGACAACGGTATCTGACTTTACTGTTGTCAGGCTGTTCCGGGGTGTTGGTGTAATGCAAGTTGTTTTATTTACCACTCAGCAGTCATGGCATGCTCTGAACCTTCATCCTCATTTTGGAGCCACTTACTAGTTCGATTAAATGTTGTGACTAACCAGTTCAGTTCATTGTTACTAACTAGATTGAATATACATTGGCAATTATTAGTTCGATAACTGTCACTATATAAATCAATTTATTTACTTGTTCATCAGTATGTGTTGGCATCATAGAGTTCAACATATATTGTCACTTACTAGTTCAGTATATACTGTCAGTAACTAATCAATATACATGATCTAGTCCAATATTGTCATTTTGACAACACATTATAAAGTCTACTTAATAAATATTGGTCTTATGTTGTAAACTATTTCGAACCATACATTACTGTATACATGGAAGTAACAGAAAAGTTGTTCAAAGTTGCTTTAATTCTTCCATGTGTAATGGTAGCTCTATACCTGTAATGTGTAAGGTGGTTATGGGGTTACTTTCCTATACATTGTGTGTTTTCTGTGTAGATATGTTTGGGACAGATTATTGTACATAGTATGTTCAACCTCTGTGTAGTGACCTAGGATAGTTACCTGTATGTAATGTGTTTACATTTGTGTAATCATATGCTTGTTAATATTGTATGCTTTAAATGTCATCACTTTCATCCATTGAACTCATTTAACAAAAAAATCTTTCCAATGATTCTACGTTTAATATTCATGCTCTGTTCCAATATCAAGATTTCTTATTTCTTGATATAGATAGTGATTTTAGGCTTTGTTGAAATGATGCCCTTAATTTCAATCCAAAATGTTTGAAAGGATAATCTAGCTAATACACTTGGAAGAGTGATCCCACCATGTCCACCTTAAAGAGGTGTTGCAATTTTTCAGTCCTTCTATTAGAACATCCTCCGATCACAGGGCTTGAAGATCCAGCTTGTCTTCTTACTCTTTCCCCCTGCAGTAAGCAGTTAGCATTTCCTCAATTAAGAACTCGCAGTCTGATTCACTGTCGCATTACTGAGACAGCCAATCAAATTATCTTTTACAGTTTTTTTAGTGAGTGTCTGTGCACCACTCCAAATTTGTTGACCTTCCGAGTAATTGTTAAAAATGATATTATTGATAACACATGAATATGTCATCGGTACATGATTGGGTGACATGATTCAGTTTAATTGGGCACTTCCATATTGGTTATAGCAGTGGGGAGAAGATGTATGGATTCTTGACACCTGCTTAGGAGGATGTCTTTGAATCATAACATAGATACCAGAGCATTTAGATACACTCTAATGTGAGACTTCATACTGTTTTAGAAATTGGAAATGTTTAGTTTGAAAATTCCAAATATACAATGCAGTAATAAATAATATGGCATAAAGGTCCATGTGCAGTATGGGAAGTGATTTAAGACAGTCTGAACCATGAATACTTTCTGGGCATAAATACAGTAGGGTTTATTACAACAATATGTTTTCTTTCAAGAAAAGATCCAGGATGATAAAAATATCAATCAAACAATTCAAAAATTTATGAATAGGGACCCCATGTCAACATTTTTTTCAAATTTACTCAAAAGAGGATCTTCTTTTTCTGGTTTTATTGCATGAAAAGATTATTCAACAAGGGGTCTAAAACTTCTTCAAAAGTAGAATGGTATTGAAAGTCTAGTTTTGAAGATCTCAATTTTCGATGACCAAAATTATGCTGAAAACAATGGATAGCACGAGTTTTCCCTATGGGAAAATAACATGGGATATGTGTTTTTAACTTTAACGCATTTCAATACGCATCCCCTTTTCAGAAATCGTTAATAAAGTGTAGAAGAAACTTTTGATATGTTTAAATTGAGAAAAACAAGATCCTCTTTTTCTGAAATGAGCCTAACATTTTTAAAAAAGTGCAAAGGTGGGGTCCTAATCCATAATTTTTCAGAGAATGATATTTTACTATCATGGGGACTTCACTTGAAAGAAAACATATTGTTTTAATTAAAACCACTGTATTGATGGCCAGAAAGTATCCATGGGGAAAGATATGACTGTCTAAAATCACTTGCCATACTGCACATGGACCTTTATCAAATCATTACTGTAACATAATACATTTATCTAGAGGAATAATCAAAATACATGAGAATCCATTTTATCATACATTGAGAAAATATTGAACATACATGTATATTGAAAGGGCCACATGTTCAAATTCAAATATTGCGTTTTCTTAATATGTTCTGTTAATTTAACTCCATTGCCATATTTATTACATAAGCATCTTTTTTTATTAAAATCAATGTAACATATATACAGGTTATAGTGGCTATAAAACAACAAACCTTAACCTGCCACCTACTGATTTATGCAAAATCTTGTGTATGCTTAACCTGCCACCTACTGTTTCATGCAAAATCTTTTGTATGCTTAACCTGCCACCTACTGTTTCATGCAAAATCTTGTGTATGCTTAACCTGCCACCTACTGTTTCATGCAAAATCTTGTGTATGCTTAACCTGCCACCTACTGTTTCATGCAAAATCTTTTGTATGCTTAACCTGCCACCTACTGTTTTATGCAAAATCGTGTGTATGCTTAAACTGCCACCTACTGTTTCATGCAAAATCTTGTGTATGCTTAACCTACCACCTACTGTTTCATGCAAAATCTTGTGTATGCTTAACCTGCCACCTACTGTTTCATGCAAAATCTTTTGTATGCTTAACCTGCCACCTACTGTTTTATGCAAAATCTTGTGTATGCTTAACCTGCCACCTACTGTTTCATGCAAAATCTTTTGTATGCTTAACCTGCCACCTACTGTTTCATGCAAAATCTTTTGTATGCTTAACCTGCCACCTACTGTTTCATGCAAAATCTTGTGTATGCTTAACCTACCACCTACTGTTTCATGCAAAATCTTGTGTATGCTTAACCTGCCACCTACTGTTTCATGCAAAATCTTGTGTATGCTTAACCTACCACCTACTGTTTCATGCAAAATCTTGTGTATGCTTAACCTGCCACCTACTGTTTTATGCAAAATCTTTTGTATGCTTAACCTGCCACCTACTGTTTCATGCAAAATCTTGTGTATGCTTAACCTGCCACCTACTGTTTTATGCATAATCTTGTGTATGCTTAACCTGCCACCTACTGTTTCATGCAAAATCTTGTGTCAATGCTTAACCTGCCACCTACTGTTTTATACAAAATCTTGTGTATGCTTAACCTGCCACCTACTGTTATATACAAAATCTTGTATATGCTTAACCTGCCCATGCATGATTAAACGTAAATGTCACCTACTGTCTTATACAACATCTTGTGCATGCTCACCCCTCAACACTATGTCTCATTGTCCCATAAGTATCCACCTAAGTATCAGGCAAAACCCTATGACCACTCTAATTATGACCACCTCTACAGTACTAAGTGAATTTATAATCATTGAGATGGCACACTAGGCTTGCGCTCATAATTATCCATGACGTTTTACAGAAAAAACAACATTACAAATTCCTGAGAGAAGCCAGGCTAGTTCTGCTTATGAGGAGGGAGGGTTCAGGCACCCTGGATATACTCAAGGGTAAATAAATGAATAACTTAGCATTACTCTAACATAAGATCTCATGATGGTCACATTGTGCTCATGATATTTCAATTAAAATGATTAATGACAAAGAATGGGACTAATGGTTAGATCACACCAAAGAAATAATTAATTGGGCATGGCACAATGAATAACTCGACCATCATGGAATTTTATAAGATGGGCTGTTCTGAAAAACTTTGGTCATTGATTTGTGAACTTTGAAGGTTGTTTAGAAAATAAAGTCTTGGAAGTGGCAGCAGTTTCCAGATTGAAAGATGGTACGTTTTCTCTTCACATCTTTGGCCAAAGTTTTTTTGAACGGTATATACGATTTATAAATAAAAATCTCAATCAATTAATTCTGTACAGAAGAGTACTATTACCCTGAAACTATGATGCCTTTGCAAGATCCGGAACCCAAAGTGTATGGTGTCCAAAAGTCAGAGTAAGTTGAGAAGCATGGGTTCATTAATTTGAAATCATTTCATTTTCTTCTATTTGACCGATTTTATTAAAAATATTGCATACTCTCTTTCTTAACATGAATCATACATTCTGGAAATTGAGACTGCTGTTATCTTAGCCATGTGTTTTTAAATTTAAAAAAAACTACATTGAATCATTGATGTAACTATGGAGGGACAATTCAATTTAATTATTCGTTTAATTACAATCTATTCAAGGAACATACCACTGATTCACTTATAATATTCACTCAGATGAGAATAGATGAAATATAAAAATGTGTGGTTATTTCAGGCCCAATGACTCTGAGTCATCCATCAAGAAACCTGCATATGACAGTGAAGATGAGTTTGAAAGTGACGAGGAATACACTGATGATGAGGACGAGCTTGACACCAAAGCTGCTTACCCAACAAAGGAAGCACCATATCCTCAGTATGCAGCTAGAGGTCCCAGCATGCCTGAGACCACTCGGCGACAGTACACAGGGGCCCCAGAGTATGCTAGGGGTCCAAATGAAGCAGCATACGCCCCAAGAGGTGCAAGCGCTCCTGTGCCAGAATATGCTCCCAGAGGTGCTAGTGCCCCAGTTCGCCCCCCTGCCCCGAGGGGTCCTGCTCCCCAGCAATACAACTATGGCCCCGGGTATGAGCCTGGCGCTGGACAACCAGAAAGGACTATTAGAATTGGCAGTGATACACAGGGAGATGAGAAAGACAATATGTCAACATTTGTCTAAATCTACAATGTATGATGTCTTCTAGATATATAGGTCAATCTTTTAACTTTCAGATGGAATGCCATGTGTACATTATTACTTGACTTCATTTTCATAAAATTCTTTCATATATTTTATAAAATACTGCAGTCAATCTAGGTACCTGTAGTATCTGTATACACTAGTATTTAAGATGTACTGTGCTCAGTACTGTAGTGTATATTTCTTCAAATAAGCATTCCATTCAGATATCAGTTCAATTCTGTACATAACTCTCTTTAAGACTTTAATCTAATCATGTGTTCATATCTTTTCATGTCAAAATATGGAAATGATGTAATTATTTCAAATTCATGAACTAAACATTTTATATATTCTATATATCCATTTGTACATATACACTAGCTTAAATACTATATATTTCCTCTCTTTTTATACAAGATTTGTATTATATAATTATATTCAGGTTGTAAATAATCACAAGATTGTCAGCAAATTTTATATCATAAATTGTTATTTTGCTAGCTATTAACAAATGCAATTGTGTAAAGCTTAAGGGTAGTGAAATATTTAGATGGTTTCCTCTAGGATATGTCATAAACATATTGAATGATTCATATCATCCAAACTCTGTTTTTCATATGGATGCTTATGGTATTCATGGGACATGTATAGGATTGATATTTTTAGTCAACTTGTTCTATGTCTGTTACCAAAATATGTGAAAATTTCAGTGACAGTAGCATTGTTTTACATTATTCTCAACATTCCAAAGAAAATAATTCAAAATATCAGATATATTTTAAGGTAATGTATGTAAATTGGCTAATTTTTATAATGAATAAAATAACATTTAGATTTATAAATGATGTATTGTGTGTAGAGTATGACATTATCAGTGAAATCAGAACAATCTTAAACTACAATAGTGAGGAGACTGTCTTAAACCATTCATTGCCTACCTGTTCTATTTGTCTAATTATCCAGCTGAAAATGATCCTAGTAATTCTGTTTGATGTTTGATAAATCACAGCTACTCAAGTAACACAAATGACTAAAATTTGAAACCATGTATAGCTCTTTTAGACAATGGTTTGAAATGTATAAAACAACTTTTATTTGAGATATCTCCCTTGACGTAACCCACTAAGACGTTAAATATGAGGATCACTCTGTTTTAACTTTGCAGTTTATCTTGTGCACTAAATTGCTAATTAAATAACTCTATTTCAACATGTTCAACAGCACTGTTTCACAACTAGTTACTTTGACGGAACGTCAATGTAACAAAATGGATGAACTTCCTGATTACGACTTTTTTGTTATCTCAATATAAACCTACTTATAAGTCAAGTTGCAGATTATAATTTTGCACAAAGCTAGAAAATATAGTATAGTTTTGATAAGTTTCTTCGAATTGGAATTTGTTTAGTAAATGAAGTTGCAATTCATATATTTAGCCCTTCGCTTTTGTTACATTGACGAAAGTCCGTTATATCACAAATGTATGTTACTTTGACGACTTACGCCAATGTAACAAAAGCGATGGTCTAAATGCATGAATTATAGCTTCATTTAATAATCAAATTCCAAACCGAGAGCATTTCTAAAAGCTAGACTGTATTGTCTAACTTTGTGCCAAATGATAATCCGCAAGACGACTTAAATACTAAGTTAAAATCGAGAAAACAAAACTCTAACCAGGAAGTTCATTCATTTTGTTACATTGACGTTCCGTCAAAGTAACTAATTGTGGAGCAGTTAACGGGGGGAAATTCACCATGAGCCCTTCTTTTATCACAGACTGTAGCAAAAAAGGTCACACGATAACTATCCCCTGCATTTAAACCTCTTTCTTGAGACAGTATCTAGAAGTGGTTCTCATTAAACATTATCAACTATATCTTTGCCATGAATTGGTGTCTTAACTAAAATGAACAAAGGATAGGTATCGATATGGAGAACTGGATTCAGCAATGTTTTTCTCTTAAACCAATCATTGAAAACATGGTATTTTATGTAATGTTGACTGATTGACAACAATTTAATGCGAAAATTATTTAGAAATATTTTATATAACTGTTTTTGTTAACATTTTTTGTTTTTTTAGTGCAATTGATTTTGCTCCTTTCTACCAATTCTTGAGAAATAAATAAAATGTCTTTCCGAACCTTGTTGGAACAAAATAGCATATACAACATGTTTTTAGACCTCTCAATATTAAAGTTATACAAAGGAATTTTTGGTTGATATTAAAAAAGTATTCAAAAAATTAAAACAAAATCCCCCCCAAAATAGATAACAATTAAGAAAAAACGTTTATTTCATTAACAAGATACTTTTTTAAAATCAACCAAAATTTCCTTTGTACAATTACAATATTGAGAGACCTAAACATGTCGTGTTTATCTGTTTATGTCGTTTTGTTCCAATGAGGTTCGGAAAGAAGTTTCATTTCACTCTGGAAACATGATACCAAGAACAAAACAAGTGTTTGATGTGTTTTTTAAAACAATATTGATGACAGTATGTATATCTATTTCAAATTATATTGTTACCATTCAAAAGATCTCCATTAAATTGACAATTTGTAAGATTTGCAGAAATTTTTGATGACTGGTTTAAGAGAAACGTGTGTTCAAAAAGTTCGCCATATCGATACCCATTCTTTATTCTTCAAACTGCAGCTTTTAACAAATGCTGCAGATTGAAGAAATATACCAAGTATTAGTCGATCAGTATACAGTCAAAGGAGGACGGAAAGTATTGCAACAGATTTCGGACAGTCATATGTTGAATTTTCACTATTTTCTGAGGATTTCAACAGGTGCTTATGTTAGGTCAATGCATTACCTCTAGGAAAAGTATTCATAGGGATGAAAAAATAATTTCTACTTCGAGACAGGGAAGACATGTTTTTTTCTGAAATGTTGTCCTGATTTCCTTAAGCCTTCCCTTCCACCACTGCTTTTTCAATTTTTGTTGCATCAGTATGTTGCGTTTTGAGACACAGTTATCCCCTTTAAAGAAATAAGTAATGGCTCTTAGATAATGCATATATGTATGTATCTTTTATTCCCGATTTCAAATCGGATTTCATAAAAACTTATTACATTTGTAACCGGACGAAACGGGGAAGGGAAAGGGACTTTTAAACAGGGCCTAATATATCAAATACAACATGCAACACATATGCAACACGACAAGTGATGTAAAATATAACAATATGTACAAGGTTTATTTATTTAAAATCAACATAGAGAACAGTATGATCAAAATAGTAATATTGCACTGAGAGAAAGAACAATGGTATTTATGATGCTTTTAATTTAATCTATTACTCTAGATATGTAAATGTCTTTATAAAATGTATTCGGAATAATACTACAGAAATGTCTATTTAAAATGTCTATAAAAATATAATAAAAGCTATGCGAGACGATAAGAGGCAACCGGTTGTGGGACTGGCCCTTGAAGTCGTCGTGGACTTGATCACGATGATAGGGGACTTGCATAGAGTGTAGCTTCTCGACTTTCGGAGACTGGCTGCTCTTGATGGGCTTGGCTGACTGTGTGGTCTCAACTCCCGTGGTGACGCTATTTCTTCAGCGAATTCCAGCCGTTACGGCACCCCAATGGACTGCTGTAGATTCACAGCTTACGAATCCTTATCTTGGGTTGCTCATTGCTGTCTATCGTCGTTGATGAAGTCTTTATCCCGAAGTAACGCCCAGTCCAGAAACAGAAATGTTGTTCACCTAGAAAATGTGCATAGCCCTACCTTGTAGTCGTGCCTCCCGATATCGTCTGACGCCCTACAACGCTGGCGATCTAACCTTCGAATCAATCGTGAGTTGATATAAAATCAACCAATCAGATTACAGATAATAATTTCCAACTCGCGTTCGAATTGCGTTTTCCGTCATGGTTTGCATCCTCGTAGTTACAAAACCGGTTTATTTCCGATTAGTCTACCACACAGGATTCATATTTAAAGTGTTGCTCCGTTTTGGGGTTTCAGTGAAATAGACTTTAAAACATCATACGACCGCAACTGAGAAAGCTTTATGTATTAATAATTTCGTTAAGTAGACCGTTACATAGCTCCCCCTCTTATAAAATGACGTCCTCGTCATTAACATTTAATATATTCCTCTATTCTATTTTGTGAAATACGTGACTGGTTACAATTCATTTCTATCTTTTCAAAAATGTCACGTCATTGATTCTTAATGACAAGTTCTCTTTGTCGAAACTCCAGGCTCGTCCTCAAAATAAAACTCAAATCCACTTCATAGAAACTTCAAATGATCAGCAATTAAGGCCTCGAGTTTAAAATGTAACTAAATTGATAACTCTCAGTTAGGTCTATATAGTATACATATACATCAAACATCTCCAAAAATATCAATCGATTATATCTATCTACAATGCAGATGTCAATAATTTTTAACAAAAAATTCTCAGATACGATGCTTTCACCCCCTCCTTTCTTTAGTTAACGTCCTCGTTAAGACAAAATTATTCCTAGGCGGTGACTATCTAGCCATAACAAATCACACATTTCCTTCAATATATCTGGATTTTTCACGTTTTTACTATTTACAGCTACAAAATACGCCTTGACGATTACACCATTTCCTTACATGGATAGACGTTTCTGTATTTTTATCTAACAAAACATGTGCTGCAATCAAACAAAACAATAGATCAAGCTATGTACATTATCTTATTCGAGACAATCTGAATCATCTATATCTCGATCAAAATGACAATAGTTTCCAAAAATATTACTCTCTCCATATATCCAAAGCTAATACTATTATTCCAAATCATCATTCTCAACTATTTCAACTCTATGCAAGTTGTATCACCTGGATCACCATAACCATAATCAGCGAAACTTGATCTAGCAGCTACCAAACATCGAGATCCAACTGTCTTTCCAAACTTTCAGACACAATTCCTAATATCGTATCACACCTCCCCATAGCACAAATGTACGTGCACATCCACTAAGTAAATACAATTCAGAATGCATGAGTAATTGATACTCAAAATGATCAGTTTCGGTTCATGACGCCGACGACATAATCATATCGAAACTATCTTTAGTTGACGAAATCGTAGAGGAAAATGGACAGCATATTTCTTACATGATTTACATTCACGCACACATTTAACCTTTGTCAATCGCTTTATGGGTTACAAATCCATGAACATTCATACAATCAAATAAAAATACATGTTGTCGTCTTCTTAAACGAACCCATCAAATCCGAAGATTCAGCTTCTTAAAATAACCATTCCTTCAAATGTCCTTTAATGCAACTACCAGACAAAAAATCACTTCATAGATTCTGGACCACCAAGCACCTTCTTTCAACATTTTCCAAATAATCATTAACGGCATTGCTAAAGAAACTTCGGCATACACTAGTTCAAGCTATGCGATCCACCTTAAGGCAAGCAATTACTTGCATGAATACATATTCTACGGCAAGAACTTATTTACTAAATCTGAAGCATTACATGACGCACTTTGGAAAACATCTTAAGTTGGCTTATACTACTGATGGGTGTGTTTCTCTTAATTTGACACATCACATAACATTTGAAATTATTTACGTCATTTCACCAATTATTTCTTAACTTGTTTTCTAACAGCAACCTATACAATTATTTACAATAGTAATCGAAGCACATACTGTTGCATCTCTTCAATTCGTATTTCATAGTCTATATTCAACTGTAAATAAATCCTCTTATGGTTCTGTCATCAAAACATTATGATTTATACAATTATTTACAACAATATATATTCCATGCTTCCTCAATCTTCTTTAAGTGTCATTATACACTCTAAGCTGCATGAACTCATAAGTTGTGTTGCCAAGATGCATTGACTAAATACACATACGTTTCTCAAGATGTTTCAATACATTTACGTTTCATTCCAGTTAACAAATACGAAATATTTAGCAGGTGTTCAATCAGTTTTTATCACAATACCAAATCATTTCCTAACATAGCTGCTTGAAGTTTCAAATGCAGGCTACACAGGTCTATGCTATTCGAGGTCACCAAGGTTACTGCTTGAGATATCGAAGGTCACTGCTTGAAATATCGAAGGTCACTGCTTGAGATATCGAAGGTCACTGCTTGAGATACCGAAGGTCACTGCTTGAGATACCGAAGGTCACTGTTTGAGATACTGAAGGTCACTGCTTGAGATATCGAAGGTCACTGCTTGAGATATCAAGGGTCACTGCTTGAAGTTATTGAGGTCACTGCTCGAAGTGCTCAAGGTCACTGCCTGAAGGTCACTGCTTGAAGTATCCAATGTGAACATCAGCAATACAACCTACAACTGGTTACAAATACAATAACCTAAAACTGTTGAGAATATTACAATGGCTACAAATATCCTTACTGCATCATGCATCAGTTTGAAACTGGGCTTGCAAATCTAAAACTGTGGCGAGTTATACAGCAATGCAATCAATTTTCAATAGCTATTGGTGATAATACACGATCATCTAAAATACTGCTAAAACATCTTTACACAAATAATAATGCGTTAGTTCAGCAAACGTGTAAATTGTTCATTTCAACACATTCAAAGTTACATTGCATTACCATGCTTAGCATCAACAAGGATACACGCACTGCACTGCCTCACTACAGAGTCGTTACACTGCACTGCTATGGTTCCTCGTATAGCTGCACTATTGCTGCACGCCTCTGCTGGACTGCACTAGCTCGATGAAACAGCTCTCCGAAGTACGCTGAAGCATGAATCAACGTTGCTGCACTAAATTGGAGTGTCGAATACACTGCTACTTGCTGAATTCCTAGATGAAAGCTGAAACCACTGGACCGCGTTGATTCGAAATTACATGCAGCATTGCATAAAATCTACTGGATTTCTTAGGGTCGTGTTGCCGTACTGCTGTATGTTGCTTTACGGGGTTACGCCTTTTGCGATGAGACCTACAAATCCCTGGCCTACAATTAAGCTACGCATGCATCCATGCATACATGATACAGTACGATTTACACTAGTTTGAGCTATACTAGAGTTTACACTACATTTACACTAACTTTAAGATATACAAAAAGTCTACAGTGTTTTACAAGCTTTGCATATTTAAACTACAATGTACCTGGTTACTGGTTACCGTACATATATGATACTACAGTTGGATGACGTCACGATCAAGCACAAAGGAAATGGCGATCTTGACTCTCACCATAACTTGCTCAATCTTGAATTCCAAGCTCACAGCAACTTGGATGGGCAACCAGGTCACCTGCAGGAAACTGTGGATGGATATCCGTGGCTTCACTATGCGTACGAAAATGTGTATGGCTGAGCAGTTTACCGCGTGTTGCTCTGTTCCTGGCCGGAAATGCAGATCTCTGGTTTCTGCTTGCAAGCACCTTTCCCCCTCTCTCAAAGGCCGGAGACGCAGACGTAGTTGTTGCTGTCTGTAAGCTGCCACCAAATGTAACCGGACGAAACGGGAAAGGGAAAGGGACTTTTAAACAGGGCCTAATATAGTTTTAAAGTTTGTGACTAATTAGTGTGTGGGGTACTATCAAATACAACATGCAACACATATGCAACACGACAAGTGATGTAAAATATAACAATATGTACAAGGTTTATTTATTTAAAATCAACATAGAGAACAGTATGATCAAAATAGTAATATTGCACTGAGAGAAAGGACAATGGTATTTATGATGCTTTTAATTTAATCTATTACTCTAGATATGTAAATGTCTTTATAAAATGTATTCGGAATAATACTACAGAAATGTCTATTTAAAATGTCTATAAAAATATAATAAAAGCTATGCGAGACGATAAGAGGCAACCGGTTGTGGGACTGGCCCTTGAAGTCGTCGTGGACTTGATCACGATGATAGGGGACTTGCATAGAGTGTAGCTTCTCGACTTTCGGAGACTGGCTGCTCTTGATGGGCTTGGCTGACTGTGTGGTCTCAACTCCCATGGTGACGCTATTTCTTCAGCGAATTCCAGCCGTTACGGCACCCCAATGGACTGCTGTAGATTCACAGCTTACGAATCCTTATCTTGGGTTGCTCATTGCTGTCTATCGTCGTTGATGAAGTCTTTATCCCGAAGTAACGCCCAGTCCAGAAACAGAAATGTTGTTCACCTAGAAAATGTGCATAGCCCTACCTTGTAGTCGTGCCTCCCGATATCGTCTGACGCCCTACAACGCTGGCGATCTAACCTTCGAATCAATCGTGAGTTGATATAAAATCAACCAATCAGATTACAGATAATAATTTCCAACTCGCGTTCGAATTGCGTTTTCCGTCATGGTTTGCATCCTCGTAGTTACAAAACCGGTTTATTTCCGATTAGTCTACCACACAGGATTCATATTTAAAGTGTTGCTCCGTTTTGGGGTTTCAGTGAAATAGACTTTAAAACATCATACGACCGCAACTGAGAAAGCTTTATGTATTAATAATTTCGTTAAGTAGACCGTTACACATTGTTAGATTAATAGAATAAACATAAACATTAAACATGAACATAAAAAAGTCACAACATATTTACAATCTTCAAAAGTAGTAGTAAAATTTCAGATTACAAGATCTTCTGCACGTTTATGCAAATATTGGTACAAGACTAACGCCTGAGTCTGATATCACTATATGGATGTATTTCAGGATACACTCTAAATTATGTATCTCAAATGACTCCTAGGCAGGCCGCATACAGAAGCACAAATTTCTCTTGGATCGAACGCTGGATGGTTGTTGGTTAACGCAATGCCATTAATGAGTTTATCCCTCAAGTGATTGTTCTCATTGCAGTCGATTAGCATGTGGTTTATAGCATCCTTATAGACTGCCACATCTGTCGCAAAGAAGGGTGGAGTCATTGACGGGCATGGCTAAAACTTTGACTGCTTTGAGAATATACGGAAGTAGATAATTCCGTTTCCTGGCTAAGTTCCAAAGATTATGAGCTCTCAAAACAGAAATGGAAATTCTGATGTCATTGCGTTGAGATTCACTCTGAGCTAGGAAGCGTTGTCTGACTACATATTTGCAAATGCGTTTCCACAAGATGTTATTTGGAAAATAACCGTTGTCTAGATATTGAATCAGGTATTGTTCCAAGTCGTATGTTTTCAGAATGTTTGATATGTCGGCGACAAATCCTGCCTGTCGGTGATTTCCGCCGTAAAGCAAATTTGCTCTAAACAGAAAGATGTCCTTTGTCAACTTAAACTGTTGCAAGTTGCAAAGCAGACTGAGAAACGACAGCATTCGTAGGTCAAGTGTGAAAGTTTGGTAACAGATCAGTTAAAGCGTATACAATATCAGTTCTGGTAGATTTGAATAATTCAAATAGACTTTTGAGGATGAAACGTTGAGCAATTTCTAACTTAAGAATTTCGCATCCGTTAAGTGCAGTGGGAATACACATGGTCCTAATTAGATGGGTAACTGGTCAACTCGTACCCAAGACAACTCGTACCCAAGTCAAGTCGTACCCAAGACAACTTGTACCAAAGTTTATGTTTTGTTTTGAATCAAGTGTTGGACTGGGAATGGGTATAGATATACATATTATAATTGTTACATACAGTTCAGAATAGTTTGAAGTATGTAGAAGAGTTTTTGGAAGAAATCCATTTAATTTTGTGACATTTTGAGCTTTGAAAAATTAAGTGTCAATCTATTTTGACTATTATTTTATATTAGTCACAGATTCATGATGTTTGACGGAAGAGACCTGTGTTCATTTCATAAATTCATTGTTCAAAATATTAGTGTTACATGTATCTTTGTATGTTTATGAGTGTTTGGAACAAGTGTCAGATCTAATTCATTTTGAAAGATGGTATAATTAAAAGTATAAAGATTTATCAAGACTTGGGCCTAATTTCTTATTTAGGATTTCATATTATCAGATTAATGAATATAATTCACATTCATAAGTCAGATTCATAAAATTTAGCAATAAAATATTCTAAATATTATAAATATCAAATATTATTTTGGTACTTGTTCATACATGATACAATACATTTTGTATGCATGTGGAAATATAATCCAATTAAGTTCCAAATGGAAAAGAAATTAACAGATTAAACTTCCCTTATTAATTTTCTCTACATGCACTTAGCTAAATTAATTGTTTGATTCATTTGTATCTAACAGTTGCTGTTGTAATTATATTTATTCATATACATGTATGACAAAAAAAGTTGAGAACAAGTCCTTCAAAGCACTTCTTTTATTTAAAAAGGTGATCCAAGTTAAAACAAAATGCTTTGCTTAATCCATTGAGAAAAAAATGTCTTCTGAATTCAGAAAAAATATTGAGGCTTATTTGCATTACATTATAACATTAAAATATTATACTAAGACGTTATACAGATGCTTTCCTAGTATGCACCCAAAATACTGAAAATAAACTTGGGTACGAATTGTTTTGGGTAAGAATTGTCTTGGGTACAAGTTGTCTTGGGTACGAATTGACAAGGAGGCATTAGATGTATGCCAGTTAAAGGAGCGAGGCCCTTTGGATGGTACCAATTCCTGCTAGCATTGGGAAAGTGCCTTTTAACTTATGACACGATCTTATAATGTATAACTGTTACTCAGACACATATTTTGACACGATTCTGTTGGAAATAAGCTTTGAACAGAGAGATATTCACGATTGATATGCACATTTTTGATTATGCCATTGCTTTTCCATGGCACAATCCATGTATTGATAGAAGTAACAATAAGGGTTTGTAGAAAAAACAAAAGTCCCGGGTACCGGGTAGTAAATCCTCCATGCTGGGTTCAAACTTGGTACCCGGTACCCGGTCGAAAAATACACGTATCAAAAAAAGAAAAATACGAATATTTAACATAATTAGATCATTATAAAAAACGTGTAAGATTTGTTTTGAATTTTAAGGCTCTTTTCTTCCTCTATCATCATGGTCATATTTTCATTGGTTATGGAGGGGGGGGGTGCGATCGCACCATCGAACGCCCTCCTGGCTACGCCTATGACATTGTAAGACGTCTGGAAACATGACAAATCATTCTTACTCTATTTTTAATAGTTCGTATGTTGGTACGTGAATTGTTTTGATTATGATTTAAATCTGTAAATAGCTATCGTTACTTTAGCAGAGAGGCGACGTGTGTTAATTTACATGATGCAACATGTAAGATTTTGATTATTTATCATAAATTAAGTTATCCCAATTTTTCGCGAAACGTCCACTGAAGTGTAAATTGTTACGTCTAACAATATCAAAGGCGTAGCCAGGAGGGAATGCGATGGTGCGAAGCTTCTAGCTCAATTTTGAAGGAAGTTACATACATTTTTGTTAATTCAAAACAAATCTTACACGTTTTCTAATGAACTAATTTTGTTATATGTTCGTATTTTTCGTTTTTTGGGGTACCCGGTTTTTTCGACCGGGTACTGGGTACCAAGTTTGAACCCAGCATGGAGGATTTACTACCCTGTACCCGTTTTTTCTACAAACCCATGTCACTCAACAAAACTTGAATTTGAGACTTAAAAAAATCGCATCCACATAACCCGAATCTTCGTTTTGCTGACAAAAATATGGCAGTTTTGTTTTGATTTTCACACTATTTCGACAAAAATACCGCGATAAAATGCAGAATGTCACATTTTGGCTTGGAGAATTTTGAATTTTTTCTCGCAGAATTTGCATTTTGTAATGCAATTCTAGTAGCTGTGATAGAGACTCCAAAGATATGAATATCGAAATAGTTATCGAAAAATTCGCCAACTCTAAAAACAGGTGTGTGAATAATATAATGTATATAATAGATCTCATATCTTAGAAGCGTATCAGTTCAAAAAAATACTAGAAGATTTTGCCATTTACTGCGCCTATTCATTTGGCAATTCCATTTTTTGAAGGATAGATATCGATATGTTGTTTCTCTTTTTTGAGTATGCATTTTACCAGATTGATAACAATCTTAAGAATTCATCTCACTTTCAAAGGATGAGAAAAAGATTCCAACGTATCAATTTATGAACAATGAATATGGTAACAGTTTATATATTATTTGACTGATGAAATACAGCCTGGTAAAACGAATCAGTTTCTTTAGCCATCAAGTAGACAAGTATACATGTATTATACTGTAGAGTGTAGATTGCACGATCCACGAGCAGGTGACTTTACTTTTGAAGATGTTTCAGAGGTAGGGCACAACAAAGTTATCTAATAATTGGCATCTGGTGTCTTCAATAATGATTTGCACATTTTAATACATTGGGATACGATAATTGCGTCCCAAATTAATAGAATATCCAATATATGGATACATGTATATCCAAAGTTATGGCATATTCTATACTTTCTATACTTTCAAAATGCTTTTTTTTAAATGATACTTTTTTCAGTCTTAGACGATTGGACTCTCTAAAGTCTATACATGTCTATACTTTCTATACTTTTGATTTTGGTGAATTCCCTATGTCTATACTTTCGATACTTTCTATACTTTACATTTTG